CAGACAGACAGACAGATAGATAGACAGATAGATAGATAGATAGATAGATAGATAGATAGATAGATAGATAGATAATCCCAGAGGGATATTCAAATCTATGGATTCATGTCTGCTTAGGGCCTCCGTAGATCAACAGGTGACCTCCTCATCATCTCCTGGAGGAAAACAAAAGCTCTTCTGTGCTTCATCAGGTCAGAGTGAATTTTTTATCATCTGAAGAGTGAAGAAAAATTACAGGAGGTGAGGAGGAGACATTAGAGAGGTGTCCATAAAGCCTGAGGCGGCCCTGACAGATCATTTCCCTTCAATAGTGACCTTTAAGGTTTTATTCCCTCCACAATAAAAGTCCTCATTAATAAGAAAACCTGAGAGGGAGCAGATTTATGACACGAGCACGTCTGCTCTCCATGATAACCCTTTTTTAAATACATATATTTGACCTTCACGTGTCTGAATGTAAATCTGATCACAGCTGATCACAGCCGTGCACGCGCTGTCCATCAGGTGACACCTGCAGCAGCAGCACCGATCAACCCTTTAAAGAGGGGTTTTCTGATTCAGGGAAATAAACAGAGAAGAAGCTCCATCCGGGTAATCCTCTCAAACTTCTTCTCCTCTCTTTGCTCCACTTCTTTTTCCCTCTCCGTGATTTTTTTTCTCCTTCTCTGCGCATTTCCTCCTGAACACCGAGGACAGCCCGGCTTCTTCTTTTCCTTTTTTTAATCAATCCGCTGGGTTGTAAGCCCACCCACTTATGAACTGGCTCACTACCTAAAGGGGGTCTAGCTGGGAAGTGGCAGAGCTGCTGTCAGAGCAGGAGAAGAAGCTGTCCTCAAGTCTAAAGCGAATTTACGCTTTTTGTTTTTGGAGGGATTGGATCCGCGGAGGACGCCGAAATGAAGGAAAAGAGTCTGATAGAGACGGCCAAGATGCAGGGAAACGTGATGGTAAGGCTGCTGATTTTCTCCGCTGTGTTTTTACTCATTTCATGACGCCGATTGCTTCATTTCTTCGTGTTAAAACCTCCTGAAAGTGTCCCGTTTCCCGCCGTCCGGACGCGCTTTGACGCACGAAGGACGCGTTAAAAATTTGCGCATTTCGCGTTGGGATTCGGTCTTTTCCGTGTGTTTGATCCGGCTGAGGTGGAGCTGGTAGTTCACGCCCTTTTTTTTTTTTTTTTTGATTTCACGTGTCCCCTCCCTGTCTGTCTGTCGGACCCTGCGTGGATCTGTCGGACCCTGCGTGGATCTGTCTCACTGTGGGTTAAAGGAGTTGGAAAGTTTGCTCCTGTTTTTATGAGGCTGATCATAAATGGCTGCTGAGTTTTTGGCTTTTCATCTTTTGGCTTCTGAGGGCAGAGCTAACCTTTAGCCCAAGGAGGGTCCCATTAATATTTTACTGCATCTAAAGCTGCGAGGTGTTGGATATATTACCCCGCTGCAGCTGCAGGCGGGCGGGCGGGCGGCTGTGTGGATGTATGTATGAGGGGAGTGAATACTAAATGTCCTGAGGGACTCTTTTAGATATTAGAGGCCGGAGTCATGACTCTTTACGCTTTGTGCTTCTTTAATTTGGGGGATATTAGATGTTAAGACTCTATATCAAACCCTGAGACCCTCTTCTAGGTCCTGGATTTGGTTCCTCGGTTCCTTCATTCACAGCTGGAGGATGTGGGGCACAGCTGCGTGTGGACCCCGGCTCTTCTGAACGCTGTAGACCCTGGTTTTTACTCCCTCCTCCGGTCTTATTTTGTGTGCAGATCTGCTGAGAGTGTTTATCTCCTCTATCCTCGCATAATGAAAAGTAAACAGGAGTGTTTGTCGAGAGGATTTTGGTCAATTTCCAAATCAGAAAGTGGTTTTCTGAGTGAGTTATCAAGTGAGTCTTTTCATTTCAGTTGGCGATGATGGTGCAGCAGAGTCATTTACATTTCACTGAGTTTTTAGGGAAACAGGGAAACTTCAGGGCCTGACAAAGACTGAGGAAGACTGAGGAAGACTGAGGAACGAGCAGGGAGGATGTAAAAGACAGACACCAGTCTTCTTAAATGAACCGTCAGAAACATTTTAACATTTTCTGAAGATGGCGGTGCAGCTTAAATCTTCCCTTAAAATGCACATTATCAGGCTGACAGAGTGACCAATGAGGTTAACTCTTTGATCCAGAGACTGTATGATGTTGAGATGTTTGATTGACAGCTCTGTTGACCAATGAGAGATCTAATAAACAGGATAAAAAAGACTCACCGAAGTTTCGTTAAGTTGTAGCTGCTAGCTTAAAAGTTTTGATGCGCGGGGAGAGGATGTGTCGCAAACAAAACGCAAACCCCTTTAGGATCCTCTTAAAGGGATATTCTGCATAAAATTAATTTAGGGTCAAACACACAATAACACAGAGTTAGACCCCCCCTCCAGAGATGAATGTTGTCGACCGCTTGCTTCTCTAGTTATACCAACTTTAGTAACGACCGCAGGATAGCAATACAGAGAGCCACGCCCTCAACCAAAACGCCACTCTATAGCCACAAATAATGCTCAGAACAGCACCTAACTTCATCAACAGGACATATAGGGTCACAGACATAGTACTAGACACCAAACATCTTTTTAACTTTGACTCATTTCTTTAGCAAAGAGACTAAACACAACTCACCTACTCTCTTCCAACAGCCGCTTGTTTGTAGGGAGACCTCAGGCCAGTCCATTACGGACTACAGCGGGGTGCCGCAGCTCAAGGAAGAACATTTACGATCATTTCTTCATGGAAATACAATCAGACCGAGACGCTAAGACAGAAGAACTACCGCGTCTGCAGTTAAAAATGATTAATATGGTGATTATTACTTCATGGAAATGATAAAGAAATGATCATAAATGTTCTTCCTTGAGCTGCGGCACCCCACTGTAGTCCGTAATGGACTGGCCTGAGGTCTCGCTACAAACACGCTGTGGTGTCAAACATCTTTTTAATTTCATGAAATCTTTAAAAAGTTAGCCTGTGAAAATGAACACACCCTGTTTAAATTGTGGTTTAAAGGCACAGTGTGCGGTTTTAGCAGAACAGGCTCGTTAAAAATGCTCTTAAGTAGCTTCACTGACAGAAGGGGTGAGCAAGGGAGCATCTCCATGAGGAACTTGTTTTAATTGACTGTATGTGTGATGCCAAATATCCTCATTCCTACAAACTGTATTTTAAAATTAGATGGGCAGTAACACACGTATATATCTGTGAGGTTATTAGAGGTCAAAAAAATCAAGTTATTGAAGTGAAAGTTGAATTACCATGAAGAGAAAGCTTTTTTAAAACCTGCACAGTTTCAGTCTTTGTTTCTGAACACAGTATTTTTCTGAGACTCTTTTAATCACATTTAGAGTAAATATAAACTCCCAAACACTCCCATCAGTCGCTCCCCTGTCGACCACAAATCCTTCTGCAAATAGAATAACATGAAAATACAAAGTGGGAGTCTCAGTCTGTCTGTGTCTGCGAGGACAGCCAGGCTTCTTCTGTTTGTTGGACCGCTTTAGTGTCTTCATTGAAACCCGCCCAGAACTGAACCGGGCCTGTTCGCCGCTCTCTAAGCCCTGATTCTGTCTTTTGTTTTCCTGCGTGCAGATATTGATTGATCGTTTCCCGTGTTGACGTGTTTATTTCCCGTATCCTGACAGCCTTACTTTGATTTATTGACGAGGTGTAATGTAGCAGGTGGCAACATGGAAACTACATGACAGCAAAGCCGAAAATCTAATTTGCCGTCACGATGACAGCTTTATTACGCCGAGCGATCGCCTCCTGCACAATGAGCCCGTTCTCGTGGGACGGAAACTTACGGCGGCGTCCCAGCGGGGAGTCCTCCCGCTAACGGGGAGGAATCAGCTCCAAATGTGACGGCTGGTTGGACGTTGTTGTTGTTGTTTCCTGTCGGGGAATGTGTCTGCAGGTCGAACAGGTAAAAACGGAGGTGCAGATGAAACCGTAGGATAGAGCGGCGATTATCCGAAATGTTTACTTCCTTTAAATCGTGGGTGTGGATTTGGATAAACCTGCAGATTCATGAGAGTAAGACGGTCTTCAAACGGCTCCGACTCTGCATCTCCTTCTCTCTGCTCTTGCATCTAATTGTTTCCTGACACAGCAAACATCCTCTTCAAGGGCGCAGACGGCGGTGTTGTTCGACAACTAATGATTTGTTTCTCCGAGCCAGCTTGGAAAAAAAAAAAAGTTCTAAATATATATCTGAGTGAGCGATTCAGTCCTTGAAGAAATGAAAGGCCTTCAGAAGATTAACCAGGGAGAGTCCTGCTTCTGTTGTTGTTGTCATGGTTATCAGAATGTGGAGTAAACGCTGGCTCTCCTCCAATGAGGGTTTCCCGTGTCTCATTAGGAGGTGTGATAAAAACACTCCATTTAACTCAAAGTATTATCAGGTCACCTTCTGGACTGATGTCTGGGAGTTATTTTTACGGCCAAACCTGTGAGTATTTCAGAGATAAGAGAGTAAAACCAGTCAGAAACTTCAGAAATATGGAGTCAGTCAACTTAGAAAGCTGGAGCTGAAGGTTCGAGGACTCAAACTGAGGTCCAGACTTCAAATATGTAACACCAGAACCGCAGTTTTCTGCTCCAAATCAGCTGAGAGGGAGCAGGAAATAGGGGAGAGTGGGGACTGATGAAACACGAGGTTAGCACTGACATTTAGGCCGGCTCACAAGTTTCTGTTTTAACCTGCGATTGTGGGAGTAGAATCAAACTGTAGTTTTCAGACTTGATTTTGCGTCAGTGCGGCGGCTCCCACTCCAGAGTCATGTCCTGTTTTGGTTTTCAGCCTCGTCTCTTTTATAAACAGAGTTTTTCTCCTGATTCTTTAGATGTTTTATTAATTTTATGCACCGTGGGAAGAAGAAGAATCCCAAATTTCATCATTTCTTTTTTTAATTCTCTTTTTATTGATTTCACATATCAATAATCCATCAACATTTCACACATATTGAACAAATTTCCAACTGTATATCATATTTCTCCGTCACATGGACATAAACTTCTTAAGTTACAGGAGAATTACTGGGAAGTAAAATAAAACACTTTTCACTCATGTCCTTTTTTCACTCCTCTCTTTCTTTGTCTCTTTTCTTCTGTTGGGGGGTAAACATAATAAACATAATAAACATAATAAACATATGAATAATGAACAAGTTTGAACCAAAAGGATCAATAATCTATAAGTCTGCTCTCAATTGAGACTCAAAATCAGCCCAGTTTTTCCTGTATTTTTTAAAAGTTTCTGTTTTTAGTCGACATGAGACAGTCAGCTTCTCCGTTCTTTATATATCGATCATTACCTCGACCCAGTCCTCTACATTTCATCATTTTAAGATTTTTATTTTGCATTATTTAACTTTTTGGCTCTTAATTTGTCACATTGGTGTATTCTAACTAAACTACTGAAGTGTGTAAAAGAAAAAGTCTTGACTGTTCCTCATATTAGGGCTGAGCGATAAACCAACGTGACTATGCCCATGTTCACGTCCTCTTATCCAAAAGCTCGTCTTGTGTTGTGTCTAAGCTGTAGCAGCCATCGTTAGCCTGAACCACTCCTACTCAGAGGAAACAAACGGATAACAGATGGCATCTAGTTATGTAATGTCTACACGGTGTTAGCGTTAGTTCTGCTCAGTTTTGAACCTTTTAAGTAGGGCTGGGCGATAAAGCGAGAATTTACTGATACCAAAATTTACGACAATAACCGACGTCATTTAGCCCATATCAGTATATTCGATGTCAAATAAATAAATAAATCAAAGTTGTTTTTGGATGTGTGTAGGTAGGCTATGGTCTCATGTCCCTTTAAGATGGTGTCCTACATCAGAGACGTGACTCCACCCCATCCAGTCTGTAATAAAGAGGGAAAGACAGGTGAGGAGATGGAGGACGGAGAGAAAGTTGGAGCGGCTGAAGTAGACGAAGTTAATGTGGGAGGGGGTGATCAGCTTGTGGAGTAGTTATCGTCCATTTATCGTTATCGAGGTGAACTGATCAATATATCGTGATATTGATTTGAGGCCATATCGCCCAGCCCTACCTCATATAAAGATAACTAATAAGCAGCTTTGTCGTCGTTACCTGTGTCGTTAAACATCAGCCTTTTCTCCGCCCGTCCTCTCGTCCTCAGAACCAGACGGTAAACAGATGTTCTTCCTGTTTACATCCAAACAGACAGCCTCCTCAGTTTAACTCTTTAAACAGCTGTTCGCAGTCGTACAGCTGCGTGTTCGCCTTCAGGCTGATGAGCTCATTTTGATGGAGGGCCGTCCTGCACGGTTCGGCGCTCGGCTGCACCGTTAATGCCTGTTCGATACTGACATGATGGCTGCAGGCCCACTTGTAGGTGTTCTGTCAATAGCTCTCCTCTCTTGTTTTAAACCACATGAAGAAGAAGAAGAAGAAGAAGTGAAATCTCTGAAGCGCTATTTGTCCACCTCCGCACGCACGCTGCTTTATTGATCACTGCTGCACAATAGTTTTCTAGACATCTGCTACCTGTGCACCTGTTACCTGCTGTCTTATAGTGAGTGAGTCAGCATTACACACACACACGTCGCTCTTTGACATTGTTTTTTCGCTGTACTCTGACGATTTCAGCGACATCAAACAGACTGAAGGATGAGGCGGCAGACCGACTCACTCTCACCGTCAGCTTATCAAACAGAGTATGAAGGTTTAGACCGGAGAAATCTTTTCTTCTATCACGCAGAAACCTCTGGGCAGAAGCAGACGGGCGGTGAACAGACATGTGCTGCATCTAGTTAAGATGATAAAACAGGAATAAAAGGAGACATACGGTTGAATAATGCATCGTTTCATACGAGTAAGACACTCGGTTAATGATTCAATCTGAGAAAAACACATATACGGCTCAGTGGAAAAAGCCATCCTCTACACCCTCCTCCTCCTCCCAACGTTTGTGCTCTGTTGATTAATTACATAACCTACCATATGGCCTGTAGTGTCTCCATATCCAAACATGAAGATAGATGGGCTGCAAGAGCGAGTACACCACCAGATTATGAAGCAGCGGTTCATGGAGGTAGGCTCATGATGTGTCTGGTCGGCCCTCCCTGAACCTTCGTTCCAATAAGAGTGAAAAAGGAAGTTTGAAAGTAGAAAGAGAGAGAGATGTCAGAAAAAAGACGAGGGGAAAAGATCATTTTAGCTCGAGTTCATCCTTCCCAGGTGAGGCTGTACGCTCTACCTCCCTTTACATCTAGGGCTGGACAATATGGGAAAAAGTTTATAACGATATATTTTTCATATCAGTCAATATCGATACATCACGATATTAAAGAAAATAATACACTGCGGGAAATTAAATTAAGATTGTTATCGTTTATCGCCCATCACTACTTACATCCTGTTTTCATGCAGGAAGAAAGAAAGAAAAGAAACGAGACGTATCAGGAATTTTAGAAAACAGAGAACCAAGTCAAGGTGGGAGGCTTATTTTGATCTGTGCGCTCGACCTCCTCTTACTCCTTTAATTTAAAGATGTAGAAAAGAGGAGAGGATGTAGAGATTAGCGATTTTATCAATTCAGGGATAAAAATCAATATTTTTTTACCCCAGAAAGTATTGATTTTTCAGCCACAAGTATCAATACATCAAGTCTCATTTAAATCCCCCTTTTTCACCCGGCACTCTGCTAGCTGCCCCTCCACACCCCCACACCCCTACTGTGTTCGCTTTGCAGGAAGAGTGATTAGGTTAGCCAGCCGCTGGAGTCAGAGCGAGGACATTTAAGACAATGGCAGGGAATATGACTCCTGCACCATCATGCTCAAAAGTCGGGATGCACCGAAAATTTTCGTCCAAAATCGGCCCTTAAGTGTATTTTCGGATTTCTGCGATGGATTGCCGGCGATCCCATGCGACACCTTTAATATAGTTTACAGTTTCTCAGGATCTATACCGTGTATCTCTACGGGATCAAAAGTGTTCAAAAGTTTACCCTTTTGGCGATCTATTGAGGGTTTCCAGACATTTCTACACCTGCTACAAGGTTTACAATCCAGCCACAAAAACAGGTGTTTGATCAGAGACGTTTGATGGTAAATCCGCAGTGATATACCGGTGAAAATAGGATTATTGATCAGATTATTGTGATAAAAAAAAGATCACTTAATCGTTAATGTCTTCCGGTTTGACGAGCTGTTTTGATGACGTCTTTTTCTGTCAAACTCTCGACCAATCACATGGTCTCATATTCTTCTTCTATTGTTCCTTTGACGGTAGTGTCCAATAAGAGACGAGAAAGTTCCCTGCTTGTCTTCAAAATCAGAAATAATGGTCCTAATAATGTTTGGAAACAAACAGAGAAGAGATTGTGAGCAGTATGATGTGGTCCTCTGTCTCATCCCAGACAGGAACTGCTTCAAGGAGTGGCAGAAACAACTGTATATAGTCAAAAACACCTGGAAGAATGAGTGTAAATATGTCAATAGTTTCTGTTGTGTGTTTGTTCCAATCCCAATATTTCTTCTCCTGATAGACAAGACTTGAGAGAATGATGTTCAGGTGAGAAAAGGCTTGGTCACTGTAGATTTATGTGTTTTTTGGAGCGAAATACTGTTGGGATCAGTTTCCGTTTTTGTTTTCTGGTTAAGCTGAGATTGTCCTGAAAAAAAAGATGTGTTTAGATTTGCTGTGATCGAAAGGATTGAGTTGTTTCATAGATTTTTAAAGACCAAAAATAGCAAAATATAGCTTGGAGTTCTCAGGGTTAAGAGCAGATGTGTGGGAACGAAGGAAAGGAAGAAGAACAGAGTTAATCTAGATAAAAGTTTGGCGGTTTGTCGGCTGTTTCACACAAACGTGAAATATTCTAGAAATACAACCAACCTACCCGGACAAGGTGACGCACGTTGGCCGCATTAGTGTATCGCCACAGCTCTTGTAGAGATGCTCCAAAGGGTGAAAAACTAGAGCTGGTATTAGTAGATTTAGTTTGACTTCTTTCTCTCTCTCCGTTATCCCTCCGTTTTCCTGAGGTTGGAGACGTAGAGAGCAGGTGTTCAACGGTAGATAACGTCAAAAGGATCTCTTGACATTCATTTGGATCTCTTTAGGATTTTTAAAACTTTCAAACTCTTTCCTCGGCTCTTAAACACTCGGTTGGATATTTATGTGTTCGGCTGGGGTCAGCTTTTCATAAAATCATAAATGTGGTAGGCAGGGAAGGGAGCGACTTGATTCATGGCGACCTTTATGAGGGCCACAGTTTCTGAGCGGTGCCAGCTCACAACAGCAGCATTTCATTAAGCTCGCCTGAATCCATCACGCTGAGTGTTTTCCCTTTGGCTACATTTGTCTGTCGAGCAATCAAACCACGCTGGCAGACGGTCGGCGTTATCAGCTTCTTCAGCGTGGAGGCAGAGATCTTCTGATGAGGGGGGTGAGTAATGGATGGTTTCGACTCACCTAAAGTCCAGTTGACGTCCATTATTCACCGATTGTGGGATGGAGAGAAGAATTGGACAAATGGACCCTGAAAGGACTCTGATTGGGCGATTGGTTGGATGATCAATATGAGTAAATCGGGGAAAACTGTGAAAACTCGTCACTTCGTCTGTTCGCTCCCAGAGCATTGGAGGTGCATTGTTTGTTAATTAGTCAACGTAAAATTGGTCAACAAACGGACAAAATGTCTCCAACAGTAAAGATTTTCACTAATTTTTGGTGCCTTTTTTCCTTTATTGATATAAGAGCCAGAAAAGACAGGAAGGAGTATAGAGAAGGGGGCGGGGCATGCTGAAGGTTAAAGCAGGGAGTTGAACCATTGTCCGTTGGAAAGTGGACTCTAGTTTCTCTGCAAAGTACAATCTGCCAAACTGGAGTCCTGGCAGGTTTGTTCATGATTGAATATACAGGAAACTACTATATGTTGATAAATATACGATAACAGTAATCCAAACTTTGCTATAGTACCCACCCCCATTCGAAAATGACCTTAGCATGATGCTAACGTAGACTAAACAGGGGGAAATGGTAACCTGTGATAATGTTGGGTAATACAGGTCTTTTGTTTGGACTGTATAAAAATAAAGTGAAACAGATTTCTCATAGAAAGCTGTTCTTGCACGAATGTAGTGGCTTCTAGTTTCCGAAGAAAACTATCGCTGAGTGGGTCTAATACACACAGTCTGAACAAAAAGCAGCTGTGGATCCAGCGTCACATCCAAGGTTTATGAGAAAATTACAGGATTTACACGTGTCACTCTACAGATTAAAGTAAATAAAAGGTAACTATATATCGGCAAATCTGCTCTTTTCAGTCAACAAACTTTCCCGCTCTCAGTCGTCTGGCCAGCAGGCAGTGACTCAGGTACATGGGGACGGGCAGCAGGTGAAAATATTAATTTAGTCCTTTTACCTTTTAGAAATTACTTCAAATTAAATGTTGACTAAAAGTATAAACAATTAAGCAGGCGAGAAAATTAAAACCAGCTTTAAATTAATATTCTTTCCTTGAGCTAGTTTAGCGTAAATTAAATTCATCATTTAAATTAGATTTCCTGTTTGGCCTCAACAACGTATCCAGTCTTTTGTCCAAGCTCGGTGCTCGGCTAATTTTCTCTTCCCTGTATATGTGAACTTTAGTTTTCCTCTGAAAATTTGTTAGCCAAAAGTATCTCTGTGTTGTTTTAGTTAAAATATGTAATTAAAACTGCCTCTATAAGGGGATTTGAATTGGCTCCTGTGATGATGTCACGACAGGAATGAGTTAAAACACTCCCACTCCTTATGTGGTCGCGCTTTCTCCAACTCTACTGAGGTTTTCTTGGCATGTATACCACTTTTTAAGTTTAGCTAAGTTTGATGCTAATTTGTTCATACTAGTGACTTCACCTCAAACTGCTGCAATAACAGTGAGGGTCAGTTCAGCGCTGGGTTTGTTGTCTGGGTTCTTCTGGAGAGCTCGCCATGATTGTTTTGGTGTTTTTCCGCCTCTGCATCTTTACACATCAGCTTATATTCCCTTTTTGACCACATTTTTGACCACATATTAGAGCTCGCCTCATTAACGGTAGGAATCGAGAGGTTTCAGATCCCCACAGAGGCTGAACTCGTGATGTTTGAGTTTAAACCCAACTAGGACATGTTGTAAATAGCTAAATAACATCATTATAGAAGACCTTTAATCGCTTTAAAACAAACAAGCTAATTTCCCAAACTATTGAACTTTTCTGTAAGTTATGGACAGAACTTTAAAACCCAAACACCTTGATTGCTTCCGCATGTTAATGAATGGGACCTTAATGCCACTTTAATTGTTGTGAACGCTTCAGAGACCAATCGGCAGTTTCACAGTAAATGACCACTTTGTCCCAGTGCTGCTCGTATAAACGTCTGTACATGTTACAGGACAGTCTGAAGACCACAGTGCTGAATTCAGCGCCTGTTTCTGTTATTAGGAGGGTAAACAAACAAAGTTAGTCCATCAGTTTTGGTTTGAAGTTTGTGTCTCTTGTGCTCCAGATAAAAAAAGCAGAAATAATCATTTTATTTGGCAGAGATTAAAAGGCGCCGAAGATTCAAATTAACTCCCACCGGCAGTCAAACCCGGAGTTGTAGAAACCGGGACATCACACTTATTTTATTGTTGCTCCATTCATTTTTATTGTCGCCGCTGAGATAATTGAATTTTGAAACTGGTTACAGTTGCGTCACACTGTGTGCTGTGTCTTGATTTTACTGCCTCACACACACACACAGACACACACTCTCACACACACACAGACATAAAAGCTCTGAAATATTCCGCAGCTTTTTTCCCTCCTCCTCCTTCTCCTCCTTCTCCTCCTCCTCCTCCTCTTGCATACAGGATCCGCCATCTCTCTTTGTTTCTCCCTCTCTCCCAGCAATCAATCACCACTTAGCCGGGCTGCACCATGCTGAGTGCTCCGGTGAAATAATGAGTATACAGCAGCTGAATATTTCATACAGCTGGTCCCATCCATCCCCGACATTGTTTGCATCTCGAGATGGAGGACCTGCGCTTGTTAAGGTCTGATTGCGGCGACGACGTTCGTCTGTTATGAAGAGGCAGAGTAATTGGGCTCCTTCAAGGACTCTGGTTGATTTCTATCTTCTGCTTCAACATCATAGTTAAACTCCGCGAACACACTCAACATACGAGCGACATGATGCATTTGTCTCTTTTCATGAAGTGCATTCAGGAGTGAATCCAAGCGAAAGCCATTATCGCTTATTGATGCCTATAAAATGCAGTCATAAAGATATAGAAGGGCGTCATCAGTTAAGGACCATACAGCGGATTACACGGGCTGACATTCACTTCACTTAAACACCGCTCAGTATTTGACTCGTTTTTACATCTAAAATCAGCTTCAGTTTCTAAATGAGCGGCTGCACCAGAAAAATCCGTTATTCCTGCTCTGACCGACCACTCTGGTAATGACGGATAATTTGAGTTTTTGCAAGAACAAGGATGATAGATCCTCCTGTTGGACGTGTTTTTTTTCACCTGATGGATCATGTGATCGCTGAAATACTCCTGGATTCTGTATTTTAGACTCAGTCAGCATGAACCATCTTATCAAAATTATATCCATCAGCTGATCAAGAAGGCGGACTCTGTTTGGTTGTCTTGTCAGTGTTTTTGTCGTGTTTATGGATTAACCTTGTGATAAATGAGTTTCTACTCTGGTCGTTAATAAGATTATCTAATCTAATCTGAAAGCTCGTCTTGTCTTGTGTCTAAGCTGTGGCAGCCATCGTTAGCCTGAGCCACTCCTACTCCAGAGTCAACAAACAGATAACAGATGGCATCTAGTTATGTAACGTCTAGACGGTGTTAGCGTAAAAAGTTCTGCTCAGTTTTAACTCTTTTAAGTGTACCCACGCAGCGTTACAGCGCCACTTACTGACTTGGCATATGTACTACATCGTTTTCAGTGGTTTCGTTGTGAGAGAAAAACTTTTTATTTTTAATATGAATAAAAAATAGAAATCAAAAATCGAGTTTTCAGAGAAAAAAATCAGGATGTTATTTTTGGCCAAACTCATGTAGCCCCACCCTCCTTTGAACATTAGCGCTAATGTTGCCGATAAAACACCCTCCATCGTCGACCGTTTTGGGTTCGCACCTGTCATGTGATGTCATTAACCCCGCCCACTGGCTTGCCGTGAATTGTCTCACAAATTCTCATGGGCTTGAGGTAACCTTCTCATAGGCTCCTCCCCCCCCAACTCCACGTGATCAGGAGGCTGATCAAACTTCACAAACAGTTGGGGTGACAATTTTGTCCGTCCGCAACAGGGTACTAGACTTGGTTTGGGTCCAGCTGCCCATCATCAATCAAGCCTTGGATAAGCGCGACCAGAACCAGGTCTTAATGAGAAGGTCTTAATGAGAAGCTCGGTCTGAGGGATGTTTTTGTTTCCTTTATCGGGGTTAAAACCACAACAACCTCCACAAACGTTCAACCGTCTTCAAACAAAAATGTCGTGGAGTGGCGAAGTACGACCGGAACGAACCCTGAAGCTCGTCTTGTCTGCAGACACTGCAGGCAGTCGGTTCCTGACATGTTTGAGTAACAGGATAGAGTTTCTGACATAGATGTTTCATGTTCTGACATCTATAGTAGATCTAATCCTGCGTTCCAGTTACCACGGACGTCGGAGCTGGGAATGACGCTACACCCGAATTGACAGCGTTACAGTAAACAAGTCGGTGGCATGTCGGCACCATGTTCACCATTCGACGTTGGGCAGTAAAAAATAAAGACGAATCTCCAACTCAGAGCTCGGAAATCCCGACTTCTGAGTACAACTGGAACACAGAATAAGTCTTTTATCTTTAGACCACCTCAAGAAGACGTTCTGGTTTTTGCTTTTTCTCATTTCTCGTCACCTCTCCTGAGTCATCTCTGAATAAAGGATTGATCAAACATTTCAAATTAACAAAAGAGGAAAACAGCGAACCTGAAAGTCATCACAAGGTCAACACCAAATGGAAACCCCGAACAGGATCCAGCTGGAGGACTTCCAAATGCAGATTCATGACTCGGGGGGGTGGATCTGTCATCCCCTCTCTCTGTTTCCTACCTTTAAATCCTCATCAGAGTCGGAGATGTTTATTCGCCCGGTCCAAGCAGAGTCTGGCTCATCTTGGCAGAAATTAGGACCCAATTGTTTTTCTCAGCTTAGTTTTTAATAGGTTTCCAATCTCCCTCATCATGGTGGACGCTCTGCTCCAATTTGAAAGTCAAAAAATTGGCAATGCACCTTTTTTATCCTCCCTCCATCTGCCCCTCTGTCTGTCACTCTGTCGCTCTCACTCTTGCTCTCACCCCCTCCCTCCTGATCTGTTTACCTTCTAACTCAGACTAATACTCGTTCACAGAGTCCCGTCCTCCAAAAGACACAAAATTACACGTGTAAGACGGTAATATCGGCGGTGAGATGTAGTGATTTCAGACAAATTGAGTCACCGAGGCGTCCGCTTACTCATTCCGCGCACACACACTGTCTGCCTGTGAAATGCAATTACACTCAGAACCAGGAGTAAGTGGTGGGAACCAGCTTATCATGTCAGAGTCCTAACGAGTGGAACTGAGGGGAATCATCGTTAATGCCCGACACAAACACCCGCTCCGTCATGAGAGGAAAACGCCTTTTATCGGCGGCTGAGGGAGTTTCCATCAAAACGTTGAACGAGCTAACTCAGCTCACGATGTCGTACTCTATATCTAATATCTATCTCTACACGTCTGTTCGAATTTTAAATCAGTTCGGAAAACAAAGTCCAGACTCGGATCTGGCCTGGGAAAACCAGAAGCTGTATCTATGACATAAAATCTACTCTGGCACCGCACGCTCTCCCCGGATGACAGACCACCAATTTAGCCTCTAATTTCAGTGCTGTCCATTGATTATGAGGAGCCTCTGCCAGAGCACTTCCTCCTTAAAAACAGAGCCAGACCTCGCTGCAGAAATTTAGAGCACAACATCTCCACTAAATCCTCCTGGATTCAGTTACAGCACCTTCTGCATCATCCATATCTCAGCGGCGTCCGAGCTTAAGGGAGCGTACTGGTGTTTTAGGCCATTAACTACAAATTGCATGTACAGTTAGTGCCGTCTGATCTCCAAACTATAACATATGCTTTTAGATTAATTCCCTCCCCTCGCAGGCACTTTCCATTAATTTCCATGCAGTGAAAGAAAATCAACTCGCAGAGAGTTTCAATTTGTTTGAGATGGGTAATCCATCACGCTAAATGTTTCTTCACCTTTATTTTCGTCAAGGTTATAAAGTAATGTCGCTGCGAGGAGGAAAACTTGCACCGGTGTGTGGGTGCATTCGAGTCCAAACCCACGCCAGAGGACAAATCTGCATTGTTGGGGCGTTCACAGCGCTTTTCTCTCAGCTGTTTTTTCTGACAGTTTAAGACGCCACATGGATCTAAACTCTGCGGTCACACCTTTTAAAAACGAGTCAATAACTTCCAAGACTTTAGTTCACCTCATTATCACCTACAAAGACACAGAACTTTCCAAAATTAAGAGTCCACGTAGGTTTTGTTTAGGGCTGAGCGACATGGAAAAAAGTTTATCACGATATAAAAAGAGGAAATTTAAGAGTGCTCATTGGTAGCGTGTCTTTTGCAATACAATAAGCTATTGCATGTGTGACGTTTTCACCGACGTTTTCCTAACGCCAGTGTTGTGGTTGACATTGATGTGGTCATCTGTTGAGCCTTCATGGTCATTTCTGTCGGGGGTAGCACTCATTTTCTTTGTTTCTCACCAACAGTGCTGTCGGCTTCACCTGTTACAGTGCTATGGTTGGGTGGAGCTGCTGTCTGCTACGACTTTGCAGTTGGTTGATACTTGGTTCGAATTCAGAACATGATTGGTTCAGAGCGAAGCGGATCTGGAGCAACTCCCTTTTTCATTGGCTGTATTTGACACGCCCCTCTCCCGTAGTTCCTCGGAGCTCTGAGCGGCTAAAAGTAGCGCCGCAGCTTAGCTACAGGAGCTGTGATGGAGAAGGAGTCACATGACCTTTGAACCCATGATTTTAACGTTACAAGGTTTGAATTTGGGCTCAAATTAGAGGATCAGGACTCAGAGGCTCTAAATCTTCGCTGTGAAGTGGCGCCTCTCTGCTCGTGTGCAGCGCTGTGGCGAGCGCTTTGTGCATGGCGAGCTCTGGGAATTCAATTAGGCTTTTTTTCCCCCTCTATCTCGCTCTCGGTCTTGTCCATCTTGAAAGTAAGCAGATCCTGTTACAGCGGTGACATCAGACAGACGCCCTGCGCGGCGGCGGCGCGGCCCGGCTGCTGTTGTAGTCCCCGTCGTGTAGCGAAGGTGCTAAAGGCGGCGTTCCTGTTGGAGTGTCTTTCTAATGAGATCATTAAAGCGAGCAGACAGATAGTGAAAAAGCACCTGTTGGCGAGGAGAATGTTTCCTATTCCCCAAACATTAGAGGGGTTTCTCCTCGCCGTACAGTCTGCCCGCTCAGATTAGCCTCTGTGTTCCTCTGGTGGAGCAGCTGATACATTATTAATTATGATACGGGTGTCGGGGATTCATTTGAATTAATTGGAGGCCCTTTTGAACGCCATTTTTTCAACGCATTAGATGTTTCTCTGAGGGGCGTAATCATGCCGTGAATCTCGAAGCTCTTCGGAGGATTTTTCTTTTTCTTCGCACAAAAAGATTCATCCGCCTTTCAAGTGAGCGGCTCATTAAGAGAGGGAAGTATAATCCCCGAACAACAACAACAACAACAACGCGGAGGTTTGATGAGAGTGAGCAGACGAACGTTCAGCATCTCTGAGAGGCAACAGGCCGCAGGAGGAGGAGGAGGAGGAGGAGGAGGAGGAGGAGCGAAACCGAGCGAGGCGGGCTGAGGTGAGACGTCTCCTCGATGAAGGCAGATTCATTTCTCTGGAGATTTATTTTGACCGCCTCCTGCTGTTGGAGTCTGTAAGTGCGCGGGGTCGAGGCCGAGGTTATCGAAACGACAGCTCATAATGCAGCGAGTGTGTTTGTTTTGTGACGACTGTTTTACTCACTGTGAACTCAATCTCTTACAGTGAGGTGAACATGTGTGCAGATTTACCCCCAATTTTCACTGCATCTGAAACGGCTCCGATCCAGAATGGCGGCAATTTTCGCTGTCTGGCAATTCCTACCAGATCCGTTTGTGAGGCAAATTTCATGGCGAATTACGGACAGCAGGAATCAAGTTTTTTTAAACAATGTTGGAAATTAATAGAAGTTTTATGACATATTATGACACCAGAAAGACAAACCTTTAATTTCACACATTAAAAAGTTGGATTTAACTATTTAAAGTGTCATTAACAGTCATTAAATATTCATCTCTAATAATGTTATCGAATATTATCAAATATCTGTAAAACATGTGATGTGTCTGACAGACTGCAAGTCCATCCTAAAATGCATCTGAAAAAGTAGATTTGACCAATTATGGCCTCATGATCTATGAGCGCCCCATTTAGAGGGTCGGCCCATGTCCACTCCCAGCGTAGGGCTGGGCGATAAACCGAAAATTTACCAATACTGAAATTTACAACAATAACCAACGTCATTTAGCCTGTATCGGTCTATTCTTTTGAAGATCATTATACTTTTCAAACTTAACTCTGACCTCTGACCTTTACCTTAAACACTTCAGCACATTCAGATACTCCGAAACTTCTTTGGTGAGCAGCACCATTATGATATAATATTCTGAAACCAACAACACGAAAAGACAAGATCATAGGAATCCTTCGTCACCTTCTACCCTGATGTGATAACACACGTTTGCCTCCAGCTTCACCTCTAATACCATGACAGTAGAGCTGGACGATTAACTGAGAATTTACCGTCAGAGACGTGACTCCACCCCATACAGTCCGTAACAAAGATGTAACATCGGATGTCGAAGAGACATACAGATCAAGTCAGTATTGGGTCGGTCCGTCAAAGACCACATCTAGACGTCAGTGCGACGTGCAGAATAGGTTAGAAATTTCAACGTCCAAATTGGACCTTGTTTAAACGTTGCTCTGACTTTAGAATTTCATTTGAAGACCAAATCTAGTTGTCGGCACAATGTCCAAAATAGATCCAAGATTTAGACATCATTATTGGACCGCTTTTAGACGTTAAACTAACATTAAATAGATGTCATTTCAACGTTGCATTACGCAGTGGGAGGGAAGGACAGGTGAGGAGATGGAAGACGGCGGCAGATGTAGAGGGGGTGAGCAGCTTGTGGAGTAGTGATCGTCCATTTATCATTATCGAGGTGAAGTGATCAATATATCCTAATGTTGATTTGAGGACATGTCTCCCAGCCCTACACCCAGCAGCACCTTCTACTTTCCCTGAATCTCCATTTTTGAGTCTCGTTAATCTTCTGTATCATTCAGAGCTTTTAAAGCCACGATGAGGAGGATCCACAGCTGCCGTTTCATGTCTGTGTTCGGTTTCAGGAAGCAGATGGGAGTGAACTTTAGACTCAGCGAGGGGCTGAGCGTCTCCGTCCAGCTGACAGTGGGGTTGGCCTGCCTGATGTTTGATTAAGAGGCACGCTGACCTTTCCGAGACTCCAGGGGGCGCTGAGACACGCGCTCACCTGACAGCCTGCGAGTCCGAGCCGCATCATTACGCCCCGAATCTATCAGGCTTTCTCTCCCTGGAAACATTAAATACCAGGGGGTTTGGTACTGATGAGGAAGATGTCAGCGGGTGGGCGGAGTCACAGGGTAAATGTAGACTAAAGAGGGGGTGTTAGGAGGTCAGGATGGCGAGAGAAAGGAGAGGCTTTTACCTCTTATTGCAGCGAGTGAACCGAAGCTCTCAAACACAGATCGGTCAATAACAAGGAGCACAAACTCTCCTCTCATACTATCTTTGATAAACACACAGGGACCCGTCGAGCGGCGCGCTGACGCCTTTACCTCCGATTATAATTGATGGCCAGGAAGAAGCCGAGGCGAGTCAATACGACGTGATGAATTGGACCTGTAAAGTGGCATTGGGTGTGCGCCTCTACTGTTCATGACAAATTGGCTGTGTCAGACTGCAGGTATTTCCCTTACAATCAATACGGACTGACAAAAGCGCCGCTGAAGCCCGCTCCGATTTATAATCACAGAGACGAGACGGACACGGACGCAAACTAAAGTCACAGAGGGGTGTTTTATTTCCTCCTTTCACAATAAAATCACAGCAAAGATTTATCCATTTATTACCACATTAAAAAAGGAGCATTTTAACATTTAATGACTCGATCGAATGAATGTTCCTCTGTAACATCCTGAGTATTTGAAATCTATTCCAGGTGTCTTTAAGGCAGTAGATGAGCATTTTTGCAAACATCCACTCAGTCATTTTTAAATATCTGCTGCAGATCATTTTTCCAATAAATAAACGTCATTATTTTGGTCCTGGATATCCAAAATAAAAATAGCATCCTAGTTTCCATGACAGGATTTTTTTTTTTAATATCAAAAAAAGACGAATGTCCAGATTTAAACATGAACATGAATAAATATAAATAGTCACAAATGTATCATGGATTTCTGCCGATGTTTTAAGTCGAAAACAAAACCAGGACTGTGAAAAATCGGATTCTAGCAGGGGTGTGTCTTGACTTTTCAGGTTGGGGTGGCCCAGCTCGGATAGGCGGGGGTGGCCTAAATGCACATACAGATAAATAGCATATATCCTCTCTGGTTTAACCCTCCTCTTACCTCACTATCATCTAAGTGTTATGCAGCTCTTTAATTCGTGTTTATAAAGATATTTTCTTCTATTTTATTCATAGAGCAGATTCAGCAACAAGCCAATCTTTGAGTAATGCGATTATGGATATACCATGATGTCATTATGTGCTGCACACACCCTGCAGTGTGTGTGTGTGTGTGTGTGTGTGTGTGTGTGTGTGCTGGTCTTGAGTTGCCCTTTTCCAGGAGCTAATCAATATTTTCATAATTGCAATAGATTGAATGTCGGTTATTTGAAATGTCGTGTGTGTGAGGGATTGTCACATGATTCAGCAGGTCAATAAAGACAAAAAAAATCTCAGTAAAGGAGGGAAACCTTTTATTTTATCCTGTTTTATCTGACTAATTTAACAGCTGATTCACAACATATACATTTTTCTCTTTACATGAGTGTAAAACAGACCTTTTCCTTTTCCTCTTCCTCTTCGTCTTCATCCGTCTGTATATAAAACTCCTCCTCCTGTGTTAAACCGCAGACTCTCTTCTACTGAATACTGGACTGAATTCCTGCCAGTGAGCATCTGCCCGATCAGTGGGGACGAGCAAATGAGCCCAGGATGCTTCTGTAATTTGTTAATTCAGCTTCATTGGGCTCCTGTGTGAAACTGTGTGTGTGTGTGTGTGTGTGTGTGTGTGTGTGTGTGTGTGTGTGTGTGTGTGTGTGTGTGTGTGTGTGTAGAGGTGAGTAATATACAGTAGAGAGCAGACTGCTGTACCTGAACACAAAGGCAGTATGTCAGCTGTTGAAGGTCTATCTATAATAAATCCTCTACTACTGTCTGCTGTGATCATTCCTGTTTAACATATTAATATATTTATATGTAGAAACGTTTAAACAGTTTGACATGGATTAAGTTTGGACTATAACTTACTTTCTTTACTTTTTTATTTTGCTTTTTAAAGTTTTTTTGGTGATTTATTGATAGGATAGGTTGGAAGTATGGGGCGATGGGGTGGGAGGACATGCAGCACATGGTCGGGGTCGGACTCAAATCCGCGGCTGCTGCGGGGACCATGGTACCCATACATAGGGCGCTAACCCACTCGGCCGTCTGTGCGCTCAAAAATTTGATATTTTTGATATCAAAAATAAGCAAATAGCAACACAATTCTTTATAACCATTGTGGAGTCTGTTACCATATATTATAATATAATGTATTATAATATTGTGAAACAGAGAATATAAAATAATGAAGAAGAAGAAGAAAAAGCAGACTTCCAGTAAACTAGCTGTAAAACTAATTTTTGAGAGCTGATTCAGCACTTTTTAAACCGATGTTTAAGATTTGTTATAAATTTATGAACAACTTTAAAACCTTTTTTTTCTTTGGGTGACTAAACAAAAGGACCATTTTTACGTCAGGACCGTTTTTGAACTCGAAAACCTAAAACCAAAAATCATATTGATAATGTAGGATATATAAAAAATACATGTCAAAATAAAAGTATGAAAAACTTAATTTGTAAAAAAGTTTTGTTTAAGAGGATGATGTATGAATACAGTTGGGTCGATCATGGTTGTCGGTTCTTTTGTTTTGTTCTGATTGGTCGTGTCGCCCACCTCTGCTAAGTCGTGAATTTTCAGGCGTGTGGCGCTCGTGTAAAAAGGGCTGCTACTGTACGTGATTGGCTTTTCTCTGACTTTATTCCTAAACTGTCAGGACACATTAAAGTTGATTTTAATAACTCGGGGCGTTAGGCAGCTGACATATGGAGGTTGGTGCCTCTGAGCTCATCCTTTCAAAATAAAAGCCTGAAAAAAGCATCTGGCTGTTTTTCGATTCCTCAGCTGGGTTAGATAAAAGAGTTGTTGTTTTTTTCACAGGTTTAAAAATATTGAAAGTTTGACTCATGACAGTGTGATGTACTCTCTTAAAGCCTGAGAGCGGCAGCGGCGGCGGCCTCAGAGGCGACTCTTTGAAAATCCGACCTGCGAGGGTTTATCTCGACATTACTGAACTCGTTTATCTTTTGACACACGCTTCCCTGCAGGAGTAAAACCTCCTCAAAGGAGTTTTCTAAAAATGAATCCACTTCAGTCTCTGGTTTCCGTTTAATATGAAGACGAGTCCTTCATCTCCAGAAGCCCGGGCCAGGAGGAGCGATACATTACCATGAGGCTTAATCAGGTTTGCCGTGGCTCATTGGCGCTCTGCGGGCTGAAGCACACTCCAGCTCCACTATTTTCCCAAGGCAAATTGGTGGTGAGGATGATGTCCTCCTAATGATTGTTTCTAATGTAAAGCTAATGTGCTGGTGATCAAAGCTCGCCTCTGGAGTTTAGATAGTGTGTGTAAGTGTGTGTGTGTGTGTGTGTGAGTGTGAGTGTGTGTGTCTAAAGGATGATAATTACCTCTCAAAAAGTTTAAGAGTAAAAAGTTAAAAAGGCGTAGATGGAATATTAGCCGTACGGATGATGGTGAGAAACAGCCGTTAATGCTTCAGACATTATTTTTAATTCCAGTTAAAAGTCCTAAAACTGCGACTCGAACTGATGAGTCAGCGTTTTTTTGTCTCTCTGCTGAACCTCCAAATGTGCTTCTTTAAGCTCGGCTCTCTTACCCGTCACTTATTTACATTACTAATTACATTTACTGGTAAAAGAGGATTATTCTTGTTAACAGCTGCAGAGAAACGCGGCACACATTCAGCTCAGGAGTTAAAGGTCCCTGATAATGAAGGATAGATTCCTCCTCTCCTTCTGTACACACATACTTCTGTCATACTTCAGCCCTCAGCAACCAAGAAATGTGGAATGTAGGAAATATTCTTTCAACAAAAACATGTTGAGTTCGACCTTGGAGAAGCATAATGACGGGAGAGATTTTGTCTGGTGTGCAGGCAGACACTCCCACTCCTCTCGCTTTAGTGTAGCAGAGTTAAGATGCCAAACCAGACACACCAGATGTTCTGCGTTGTTCCCAAAAAATAATAAAACATCCCAGCACCAGAAGAAGTTACACAGAGTTACACAAAGTTACAAGAGTTGTGCGTGAAAGTGGAAATAACAACCTCTGCATCCATCTATGCTAAGTGTAATTAAGTGTAATTAATATTGTATCATGACCCAAGTATCATGATAGTAACATATCGTGGCCCAAGTATCGTGATGATTTTGTATCATGGCTCAAGTATCGTGATATTATCATATCGTGGCCCAAGTATTGTGATAATATCGTGTAGTCATAATATTTTATTGTGGCTCAAGTATCATGAAAATGTTGTATCATGGCCCAAGTATCGTGATAGTATCGTAACATAGCCCAAGTATCGTGATAATATCGTATCGTGGCCCAAGTATCGTGATAGTATTGTATCATCGCCCAAGTATCATGTTGTATTGTATCTTGGCTCAAGTATTTTGATAATATTGTATCATGGCCTTAGTATCGTGATAAAATTGTATTGTGGCTCAAGAATCATGGTAACATCATGTCATGGCCCAAGTATCGTGATAGTATCGTATTTTGGCCCAAGTATCATGATAGTATTGTATCTTGGCTCAAGTATTTTGACAATATTGTATCATGGCCATAGTATTGTGATAGTATTGCATCGTGATAATATCATATCATGGCCCAAGTATTGTGATAATATCGTATCATGGCCCAAGTATCGTGATAATATATTGTGGCCCAAGTATTGTGATAATATCGTATCATGGCCCAAGTATTGTGATAATATCGTATCATGGCTCAAGTATTGTGATAATATCGTATCATGGCCCAAGTATTGTGATAATATCGTATCATGGCTCAAGAATCGTGATAATATAGTACAGTTGCCTAAGTATCATGATTATATCTTATCATGGCCCAAGTATCGTGATAGTATCATACCATGGTAATATCGTATTGTGGCTAAAGTATTGTGATAATATCGTATTGTAGTGTCACTGTTGATTACCGCCCCTGAGGTGAACTTGGTTCCTAATCTCCTGGGACACCAAAACCCATTACAAACCCTAAAAGTAAAAGTTTATGAGCCATAAATTCTTTCAGAGAATTAAAGATCCTATAAAAAGAAAAAAATTACCTTAAAGGTGTATTTTTTTTTCTCAGTAGGATAAAGTTTAGTTGGCAGAGAACAATAAACTCACTTTTTTAATTAAGATTTAATGCAAATGAGTTTTTTGTTGATTTTTTACCAAGTTTTAAACAGCCTGAAAACTTACAGGTTAAAACACTCTTTATTATAATTGAATATATATATTTTCTATATCACTCTGTCAGAATTACAGTCATACTGTTCAGTTAAACTAAACAGCAGACTACATTTCTCCATTAAAACATATAAGTTAAACTTGTTGACTGACGTGTTTTTGCAGAACCATCTGTTTAAGTCCGAACTTAACCTTCAATGTAAAGCTCACTAATTGGCCCCCGGTTAAGACTGCGGTCTGATTACAGCATCATTTTCATTTCACTGTAAGTAAAAACACTCATTGAAATTCTCCATGGAGGGAAATGGATTTTCAGACTCTGTTGCTTCATAGTGAAATTGAGCAAATTGTGTTCAGTGAAAAGAAAAAAAAGGATTTTTCTTGCAGCAGAGAAAACCGCAGCCTCCCCAGGGAAATATATCAACACTGAACCGCGGGCGTCCACGTTCAGCCTCGCCGCAGCTCTGTTGTGGAATCCAGACGGAGATAATGGCGTCTAGACAAATATGTCATTGACATTTTGAATACTAAGGGATACAAATGAATATGGCCGCTGTGTCAAGGTGCTGTTTGTACCTCTGTGCCGCCTCTCGGTTATCATTAAGAGAAGGAGCTTTATGTCTTATTGTTGTGTTTGTAATGTGGAGATAATGTGAAACCTGCTCTGAGGGATGGTGGAGAAACTCGATCTGCAGCATGTTTATTCACTTTTTAATGACAGTCACCCTTTCAGCAGGTTGACGATGCCTCCTCTATAATCAGGTTTTCTCATCCTGACGTCTGATACTCGAGCGTTTTCAAACTCTCGGTCAATCAGATTTTCTAAAGGAAGAAATTCGTTTTAATCGGTTAATACTTTTCCAATTATAAGTGAAGAATGACGTCGTTAATCTGTCAATCCTTAATTATTAAAGTTTCTCTTTAAATTCATATCCAATATGAATGTTAATTTGTTTATTTAAACAGTTATCTAAACCTTCATTTTCTCTTTAACATCAACATTTCAGCGCTACAGGGTTATTATGAAACTCCTCTTTACTGCAGCACCTTTATGGTTTATGTTAATGGAGACAGTGTAACCCTGAAGGTAGGGCTGGGCGATATGGCCTCAAATCAATATCAGGATATATTGATCACCTCGGTAACGATAAATGGACGATAACTACTCCACAAGCTGCCACCCCCTCCCACATTAACCTCGTCTGCTCAAGCCAACGCTCCAGCCGCAACAAGACGTCCCTTTAAGACGAAGGGCAGCGTCTTAAAGGGACATGAGACCATAGCCTACCTACACACATCCAAAAACAACATTTATTCATTTTTTTGACACCAAATACACCGATATGGGCAAAATGACGTCGGTTATTGTCATAAATTTCAGTATCGGTAAATTCTCAGTTTATCGGCCAGCCCTACCTGAAGGCATACTGGGTTCACCTCGTTCAAACAAAGATCCAAAACCTGCTCTTCCATGTGAGCCGGGTCAATCTTTGTAGATTTTAGTTGGTATGTGGATTTTTATGGATGTTTTTTGTTTGGGTTGTAGAGTACAGAGGTACAGAGTGGTTGCAAAACGTTAACATTAAGGCCTGTTAATTTTGATATCCTGTCTAGATAATAGGAGGAGTAGAAGGTGGAGTTTTTACAGCGATTATTATCAGTTTTGATAAATGTAAACAGACGTCATCCCTTTAGGCCACCCCTTTGATACTGAGTGCAGGACTTGGGCCCCCTTAGTCCAAAAAGTCTAGCTCCGCCCCTGTTTCTCAGATCAGTTTAAGTGGAAAAATCCTGGGGGGATAAAGCCGTCCTATCCTGAGCTTCTGCAGCAGAGTTGTCGTAGAACTCCACTGGATCACCATTAATATTGTTTACAGTTTCTCAGGAACTATACTGTGTATCTCTACAGGATATAAAGTGTTCAAAAGTTTACCCTTTTGACGATGTATCGAGGGTTTCCAGACATTTCTACACCTGCCACAAGGTTTACAATCCAGCCACAAAAACAGGTGTTTGATCAGAGACGTTTGATGGTAAATCCGCAGTGATATACCGGTGAAAACAGGATTATTGATCAGGTTGTAGTGATAATTAAAAGACAGCTGTTTTGATGACGTCTTTTTCTGTCAAACTCTCGACCAATTACATGGTCTCATATTCTTCTTCTATTGTTCCTTTGACGGTAGTGTCCAATAAGAGACAAGAAAGTTCCCTGCTTGTCTGCGAAATAAGAAATAATGTTCCTCAATGTTTGGAAACAAGTAAAGAAGAGATTCTGAGCAGTATGATGTGGTCCTCTGTCTCATCCCAGGAGCGGCAGAAACAACTGTAAATAGTCAAAAACACCTGGAAGAATGAGTGTAAATATGTCAATAGTTTCTGTTGTGTGTTTGTTCCAATCCTAATATTTCTTCTCCTGATAGCCAAGACTTGAGAGAATGATGGTCAGGTGAGAAAAGGCTTGGTCACTGTAGATTTATGTGGTTTTTATCAGTTTCTGTTTCTGTTTTTGTTTTTCGGTCGACTTTGGTTCTGGTTCGGATGGTTCTGAATCTACTGTCACATTTATTTTTGCTCCATAAACTGACAGCTGAGGTTGTCCTGAAAAAAAAAACAGGAAAATGTAGCTGGGAGTTGGAAGGGTTAATCCATGCAGCATTCGTGAGAAGAAGTGCTTTACATCGGCATCAGCAAATATTTGCCTTGTTCCTGACAGAGAGCAGAGAGACTTTAGCCTTTACAAAACGCCGCAGCTCTGAGCGCTGTCACGCAAACCCTCCAGGGAGAGAGACAGAGATTTCCGACTGTCAGCTCCATCGGCTGCATAATCACTGCACAAATAATGAGAGATAAGGCCGGAGCAGCGGCGGGGCTTTAAATCTAAAAACCCGAAAAGACTGAAGGGGAAACCGCCGTCACCTACTCCTCCTCCTCCTCCTCCTCCTCCTCCTCCGCGGGGACAAACTTTGTTCGCGCTTCACAAACAAAAGCAAATAAGCATAAGTCTTTGTGGCCTGCTGGAGCCACAAATAGCTTGTCAGAAGTGTGAACAGAGCAGTTGCCCTTTATTGCTTTTGCCGGGTGTTATGGCGCCTTTGAGCCTCCACAATAAACGAGGAGCTGCTTGCTAACTCTGACCACGTTTACCTCGGGGGCCCGTGTGACTGAAACGGCCCTTTCATCTTAGAGGGATATGTCTGTCTCAATATCCCGGCGGCGCTCATGGCGTTGTGCACACAGAAGAGGAAGAGGAAGAGAGAGAGATAGAGGGACGGGCTATCGCTTTGTCCACCACGGCGTAGCGGCGTTTGTGGACCCTCTCCATCCCTCCTCCCTCTGATCTCAGGGGGGGGGACGGTGAGCGGGAGACAATCAGGACCGGAACTGGAGGATCTGCAGCGACCTACAAGGGGAAACAAGGGGATGGTTGACTGGCAACGCCTCCCACCCGCCTCCTCCTCCTCCCACCTCCTCCGCCTCCTCTTGTACCTGTCAAGCCGTGCCGTGGCTGAGATCTCCGAGGTTCGTCGGCGGCGGCGCGTTGCTCTCGCTCTCTCCTCACACAATATCTCTTTATCTTTTCGCCCCGCTGAACCTCAAGATCAAACTCACGCAGGCAGAACGGCGTTTGTTATTCCTGTACTCTCAGAGGCTCGGCTCTGAAGTTTTGACGTTGTTTAACTTGCAGCCAATTTTCTAAAACACACCCAATCAGTTCGGAGGAGAGAGAGATAAGATTTTAAAGGGAGAGACCGCCTGATAATAATAATAATTCAGATGGAAACAAATCTGTTAAATTTCTCAAAGGGGAAAAAAGCAAATTTAGACTGAAGAGCTCGAACAAATCAGAGATAAGAAGGAAACTTGTTCTTTTGTTTAGAGAAACTAATAACAGACTCACTCTCTGCAACAGCAGCTTTGATAGATAAGAGTTTATTTTGTATTCAGAAAAGTCCAAACAATCAATTTCCTCCCAATAAAGCCGCTTAATGCTCAATTCTGATATCGTAACTCTTATGCTGAAAAACTGAAAAACTTAAATCGTCTCTGAAGAAATATGCGACACACGTCAGAGAATCTGCAGCAGCGGCGGCGTTGGCGTGTTTACCATCGTGTTGCATCAGTTTTTCTTCTTCTCTGAAACAAACTCTGATAACTTTGGAGAAGAGGAGAAACTGAGATGGTGGATTTGAGCAGCTCAACAGTTCAGGGTCTCCTTTGTTGTATTTTTAATTTCATATTGTGCCAAAACTTTTTAAGAAGCTAAAAGTCCTGATGATGTTACTCCTGCAGATTAGAGTCTGATATCGTCTTTTTTAGGACTCTCCCGAGAAATGTAAAGTCTGGATGACAGCATGTCCAAATATGAGACTGTCAAATGTAGATCTGTCCGACCACAGGACCTCTGTCCATCCTGAGTTAGGCCTGGGCGATTTGGCAAAAAATATGATCACGATGTATTTTTTCATATCGTCTCGATTATTATCACGATTTTTTCTTAAACTGCTCATTTTAAAGCATCTGTACTAAAAACTAAAGAAACTAGAGATGACGATCAGATGTTCTTGGTTTTTTAGTTACCTCGTCTTAAAACAGTTGATGTTTCTGAAGGCGTGACCTTTCCGTCAGTTTGACAGATCGGTCACGCCTTCAGCTGCCCGCTCGCCCCCTGCAATATCTAACTCCAGGTGTGGGAGAGCATATATGCCCCCTCATTCCCGGTTGATGGTCCTCGGACCTCGCTTCCGGATTTCCATCGCCTCCATTTCCATTACTGATCACCGTGATCGAACTGAAATTTATCAGGATCATCGATCACAATCAAATAATCGCCCAGTCCTATCCTGAGTAGACTTTGACTTAGACTGTTCACATACAATGGATTGTAAAGGTGATTTTATGTAAATGTAGTGACTTCCACTTCAGAGTCACGCCTGTTTTAGATGCAGAACCTTCAGAGATAAGGGTGCAGAGATTTCTGCAGGTATTTTGTTTTATAGATGAAATCCAGTTCTTTGCCGTTTTGGTCTTGTGGCTGAAATGATCGTCTGATTTCGATATAAATATACAGATTAATATGTCGTCTTTATGCTCTTTTCAGTTCTATATATTTGAACTGGGTTATACTGAGAGATGAGACTGGTTTAAGGAGAGGCAGTAAAACGGACTGCAGAAAAACCTCCATCCCTGGTGGTGTTGGAGAGTCAGAGGTTTGTTATTTTTCATTTGCAGGAATTGTACCTCTCTCTGTCTAGAAAGGATCAGTATTGTGCGGCGGTGGCTGCTGCAGATGCCCTGAAAGGTTCTGGGGCTTTATGATATAAGGTCATGGTCACAGGGCAGCAGAGGCAAAATTAAATTATAGCTGCAGGCGGCAATACGGTGACCAGAGTCAGGGCGGAACTTTCAGAGAGAGGAGACCAAAGTTTGGATTCGATGGAGAATCTCAAACTGGAAGGATTTTTAAAGAGTTTGGAGATTTTAGGAAAAACAAACTAAATTTACCTGAAAATTAAATTAAACATTTAGTATTTAATTGAATCCTTCTGCAGAGAGAACCTTCATAATAACACTGAAAATCTTCATTTTTATATTTCTCATATTTGTAAAAAAACTGATTTGTTATAGTCTGCTCTTTCTTATTTATTCTTATTCGTCTCAATTTTCTATTAAAATCAGTTTTTTAAAGAGCAGGTGAAATCCTGAAAACACTGAATCATTAGGTGTCAATTTTCCAGTTAAAGAAACAGCAAACAGTTTTAACGATAAATGATCAGTTTCATCGTCAAAAGTCCAAACTCAGTTTTGTCCACAGGGGGCGCCAAATAGCATTCCTCACAGGAGCTTTAATCTCACTCGCCGACATTCAAAATATATTAAATAAATCAGAAATTTAATTTTAAGAAATTTTCTTTAAGACGTCAAAAACTTTTTCTTCATCCTGAGAAAATAAAAAGTAAATGAGAAAAAGTGAAAAGAGAGCAGGAGAGAAAAATAAGAATCCAGCCTTAATAAACAGCTGACCCTGTAAACAGTGAAAGACGCTGACTGTTGCTTTATTCATGTCAGGAATAAACAAACTTGTCCGTCTCTGAAGTTTTGATCTGAAGAACAAACTTCACCTCCTCCTCCTCCTCCTCCTCCTCCTCCTCCTCCTCCTCCGCTCTTGTTTTTAATCCTCTTTACAGTTGGAAGAAATCCATTTATCTGTCCGGCGCTCAGCTGATCTGGGAGCAGATGCAGGAAACCACATCCTCATCATCATCACGCCGTGTCTGACATTGCCCCTCCCTCCCTCCGCTGTCATTTACCTTGAGTCCCGGTACACGCCGCAGCGCAGCCTTTACATTATTAAACCGGCGCACATGCTCCGACATCTGTCACCATATTGGCCTCCCCTGGTCGTACCTCCTGATTGGTCGAGGCCGTCATCAATCACGGCCCGCTGAATTGACCCGGTATTGGATCAATGGTCAGAGCAGGGAGTGTCTCTGACCTTGGACTCATCCCCGCCGCTCAGACCCACAGAGGCTGAGAGGAGGAGATATTAAAGTCCAAAACTAATAGGGGAGTATTTATGAGCGCTGCTAAGTCCTCGACCCGCAGCGTTTACTCTCTGCCCACCCGCGGCGTCTCTCCTCAGCGTGGCGTGAAATTAACGATACGATGCCAGTGAAGTGGGCTTTCTGAGGAGTGGGGGGGCTAATGGAGGAGGTGCATCAGATTAATGTCTCTGCGTTTTTGGTTAAAACACCCCCCCTCACCCCCACACCCACACACAGATACACACTTGTTTGTTGGTGTCAGTGAATCACTTTAACCTTTCACGTCAGACCCGGGTCGGCTTCAGAGGCGATTAGTCAAAGGAGCGCGGTCCCTCATCTGTTGGGCGTCGGAGCGGCGAGTGTTCGGTGGAGCGCAGTGTTGGGTTAAGTTAATCCTCCTCCCTGCAGACGTCCCATTAAAAGGATATTTTTCCACTGCGGCTCTTTTTGTTGTTTAACAGGAGATTACTCCGACAGCAAATGTTTGTTTTGACAAATTGAGGCTGATTGTTGAAGATTTCCGCTCACCTGTGAGGAATCAGGGAAGACGTTTTCATTTCTAAATCCATCATACCGACACGGTCAGCTGGAGAGGACGATTTACAGTGTGTGTGTGAATGAATCCTTTGAATAGAGCTGTTTAAATCCATTTTATTATGGTTGTTATGAGCAATTATAACCTTTATTTAACCAGGTTAGTCTCATTAAGATCCAAGAGAGACTTCACCAAGAACGGCAGCACATAAAGTTTACACAAAATCACATAAATAATCACGATACAAATAACAATTGAAATGAGAAGATTTGTTAAATGAAACATTTGCACATGAATAGACTTGTGCTCATTTACCTGAATGGAGGACTGATGATAGGTGGTGCTAGCTCTGCAAGTGGAAACTGACCTCTGCATGCTAATTTGACTCTGTTTACCCAAAGAGATTTACTTATTTTTAGACAAATTTAAGCCGAAGCCAAAATAAACACACTTAAGTTTAGTTTGATAAAAATATATAATAATGGTGATGCTGGCTTGTCAAAGCATCGCCATAAGTTCAGTGTAGGGATGGGTGATGAACCGAAAATTTACCAGTACTGAAATTTTTATGCAAATTGTCCCATTTAATAAACTAAAATAAAATAAAATAAAATAAAATAAATAACAAAATAAATAATAAATTAAAAAACACAAAAGATTTAAAAAAATGTAAAAAATAATTTAAAAATAATAAAATGATTTAAAAAATAGATAAATAAATAATGGAATAAAGAAAATTTGAAAAATAAAACACAAAATAAATAAAAAATAAAATAAAATTTAGAAGTTCATGGTGCTAGTTCAGGCAGACTAAAGAGATTCTCTCTTTATCTGATTTTACCAGAGTTTTACGTGTTTTTTTATTGATGCCTGCTCTGTTATCTATCGCTCTCTTTGTTTACTCAAAGAGATTTACTTATACTTAGACAAATTTAAGATGAAGCCAAAATAAAAACACTTAGGTTTATTTTGATAGGTATATAATAATTGTAACGCTGTCTTGTTTAAGCATTGCCAAAGTACAGTGTAGGGCTGGGTGATAAACCGAAAATTTACAGCCACTGAAATTAACGACAATAACCGACATCATTTTGCCCGTATCGGTATATTCAGTGTCAAAAACATAAATAAATCAACGTTGTTTTTGGATGTGTGTAGGAAGGCTATGGTCTCATGTCCCTTTAAGACGCTGTCCTACATCAGCGTATCTCTCAGAGCGACCATCTGTTTCCAAACTCTGATTGATTGATTCAAGTGTTTTATGACTGAAGCTCCTCCAGTCTGAGCTCGGGTTTATCGTCATGTTCCTCTGTGTTTCTGGGAGTTTTGTTTCTCTGTAAATCGTCAGTCAAATGTTGAACAAATGTGAGTTCTCCTTGAGCGAGTTCTGACTGGGTTCTGCTCTAAAATGCAGTCATAGTAATTGAGACGAGCCACCGGAGAGAGAAAACTTGGAGTCAAGTCAAAACTTTCATCTTTTATTCAGGAGCCGTGGCTTTAATGCCATCGCAGACTTCCTTCATCTGCTCAAATCCTCCCAGAAGATCCTGCTGGGCTCGGCTGTATCTCCACATATATGGACTTTTATTCTGATAGTTCTATTAATAACAATCCCAATAAAGTATAACAGCAGCCGCTCTCTCAGACACATGGTTTTATTATGAGCAATGGGGTAATCTGGCATGGAGAAGACCATCACTTATCTAAATAGTCCAGAGTCTTACTCTGAATGTCAAGTTATTAACTATGGCGGTAATGCAAACTCAATCCAGAGGACAGATTGAATTAGCGAAATGCTCAGCTGCTTGCTAATCAAAAAAATGGAAAGCTCTTCTCAAATGGATTTGTATTACATCAGCGTCATTTGTCATTTGGAGTAATATGTTTCTGTTTTTTTTCACTCGATGAGGCTCGGATTAAGCTCGGACATTTTGCCGGTGCACATGTTTTTATTTTTTTCTCAGATCTAGGTTTTTATTTTTCATATCTCTGATTCCTCAGTCTTTACCTGGCCCACTCCGGCCCCATCCAGCCCCCGAACAGACAATATGTTGGAATTGCTTTCGGTGGTTCTTCAGACCGCAGGGACTTTTTTTCATTTTGTCTCTTCACTCCTTTCTGGTGATCTGGGGGAATTGAAAAGTCAGAGCTCAATAATGGAATGAATGGGCGTAAAGGGGCTGAGATGGAGGACCGGGTCCTTATCCAGATATTAGCTAACAGCTCAGGCACAATATCAGCCGCTTGTTTGATACTCTGTCAAGTAGAAATGCGACACTAACTGCAGATTTGTCGCTCCGTCGGCCGTTATCTCTGTCCTTTAATGACTTTGGGGTGCGTTCAACTACATCACTCAAAATAATCAGAAAGGTGGAAGTATTTTTAAAGCTTTTAAAAGCTGGAATACATGATGGTATTAATCTGCTGCTGCTTCTATAATATAGTCCCATACATTTACATGTAAATGTTCATTAATGCAAATTATCCCATTTAAAAAATAAATAAAATAATAAAATAAAATAAAATAATTCATTAAATAAAAAAAAAGATTTTAAATAAATAAATAAATAATAAACTAAAATAAGTCATAAAAAATAAAATAAATAGTTTTAAATAATTTTTTAAAAAATAAAAAAAATAAAAAAATTAAAAAATTAAAAAATAATAAAATCAAAAAAATTTAATCAAACAAAATAAAATAAAATAAATTCTTTTAGGACTCTCTCTTTTATAAATAATCACATCATTCGTTCACTCATCAGTCTAAACCAAACATGAACATGTTATACAACCAGGAAATGACTCCAGCGAGCTCATTTTGTTACCTGAACACTGGAATATACCTAATAACACGCTCTCTTGAGTCTGTAAACGTATAGAAACTCGCCGCTTTAATCCTAGTATAGGATACATGTATTTTTCAGCAGCAGCAGCAGCAGCAGTGTTATCCGCTCTGTGTGGAGTGAAGTATCTGATGTCAAGGTGAAAAATGCTCTGACAGCACTTGAGCCAGGTCTCTGCATGCACCAGATGGACCTGCTGAGATTTTACGACACGATCTCCTGAAGTGTCTCTCAGATTTTACTGTCTCTTTTTTTCCCCCGTAGCCAATATTTACTATAAAATCGCTCTCTGAATAGGAAACGAAGCTTTTCACTCCAAGTCCTCCTGTTTGATATGAGTTGGATCATATTCTCCTCTTTCTACAGTCAGGTTTCTTTCTACTTTACTGCCAAGTGAGCACCTCTTCAAGTCCCTTCATTAGTCTCATTCTCAAAGCCCGCCGGCGTTTCAGGGTATCTCCTTTCTTCTATTGTCTGTTAAATCCTCACGCTTTTATTGTGAAACATCTGTGTTAAAGTGTTCATTAACCCAGACTGATGTGGAGGAATGCAAAAGAGAATACTGGGAATGAAGAAATCTGAGTCTCTGCAGGTGAAATTCAGTTTTTTAATGAAATCTTAATTATAAATATGCAAATAAACCTGAATGATGTTCAGAGGAAACTCTCTTTTAAAGGAAATTCAGAGTTTTTACCTACTGAAGAGAAAAACTGGGACACCACAGACCAGGTTCTGGGTCTTGGGTCCTGTCTGTGGTTTTGAAAAAGATTATAGTTTTGGTTTTACGCAAAGAAAACTACCAATTAACTCTTAATGATCCCATTTCTACGTACTGTACCTTTAATTTACAGCAGTTTCCTCATCATAGCCCTCATTAAAGCTCCAGTAAGGAGTTTTCAGCCCCCCGATTCTGAGATTTATTCACTGGAAACCATAACTCAGACATATCCGGGATAGAATTCACAGACATAAGGCGGCGTTTAGTCCAGACGGAGACAAATCCCCCCGAACCAAAAGTCCTTCTCTGCAGCTTTAAAAAGTTCACCAGTCCTCCGTGTCCATATGTGGTCCTGGAAGTGGGTACGTGAGAACCAGACTTGGTTGTCTGTCCTCGCTAAGTTTAGAGAAGAACTGTTGAGCCCCGTGGCCAAACTCCAAGATCCCGTTTTCTAATCAGTCCAGCTTCGTCCCCGTCCTGGATCACGGCCTCTCTTCGGGAACGCCGCGTCTCTTTTTTTTTCTCCGTCTTTGTTGTCTAGACTCGATGAATCATCCCGACAAGAGCGGCGGCCAATATTTTCAGACCTCCAGTTCCAACTGTTGCTTTCAGTTGTTAACAAATGTTGTAGAAAAACAGAAGAAAGGAAAAGAGAGATGAAGAGACGTCTTGGTGATGGTAGAAGTCCATCATTAGAGAAATCGACACGAATCAATGTCATTAAATGTCTCGTTTCTCAAACTGTCGTCACAGGGTGGTCAGATGTTGTCTTTTTGTGTCTCTGGTGGCAGATTAGAAGAACTAGAAATACTGCGGTATCAAAGTTAGAGACAGCTGTGACTGTGACGTGACCGGACGGGGACTCTCGTTTTACCCACAGGAGTTTGAGGATTCGAAGTCTGGTCAAATAATCCAGCTGATATGCAAACTGATTGGCCACCTCTGTCGCCGTGAACAAGGACAAATAGAGAACAGATTGCTAGCTAGTAGAGCTGTAATCGACCAAAGAAATTGTTGGTCAACTAAAACCCTGAAATTTGATCAAAAATCGGCTAAAATCGACTTTTATTCAGCAAACCACCCAACGTTGATTAATGCAGACGCTCTTCAATCTTCCTGTCCAGTCTCCAGTGGGTTGGTTGAACCCAAAATGGTGAAAATAAAGCGGGTGTTCTGAGACAGGCTGTTACCTGTGAAATGGAGGTGCTCTGAAAATACCTCCATTAGCTCTTGGTACGTTCGAGTTCTAGTCGACCAATCAGAATTGTAGTCGACCCAGCACGCATCGACCAATATCGACTAGGACATTGCAGGCTGACTAGCTTGGGCTGGCTAACACGTCTGAGGATTGTCCCGCCTCCAGCTCAGCCCAATCCGTCCAATAAGGTCACTGTATTCACTCGCGCTCAGAGGACGCTCAAACGGAAATCTATCCATTCTTTTAGTTAAATTAGAAAGACGGTGTTTATCAAATTAAAACACAAAATGAAACGTCAGATACAGTAACTCGATCTTTTTCTTCTTCTCTTTTTAGCCGCAGATAGATTTATGGTTTTTATCCATCTGTACTTCCTTGTTTTGGACACTAGAGGGACTATGAACAGATTTACGGACACAGTCTACGTCCAAAAGTGGAAACGAGGTATTAAAAGGTTTTTTATAGTCAAGACAGCTGGATTTGTACGTCTACTGAGTCGACTTCTGAGAAATCAGTCATCAGTTATAATTTAATTAATCGACAGTAAGTAAACTTTACTTTGACGCTCATTAAAATTATTTCCTCGACAAAGAGTCCAGGTCCAGGTCTTTCAGGGTTTATGAATCCACTTTAGTGAAGAAGTTCTACGATCCAAAAATCTCTCAGTTTATGAAAACTGATGACTCGGGTTTCACCAACAGTTTGTCGTCCCTCCTCCTTTCTCCTTCTTTCTCCTCTAAATCAAACTAACCTCAAAGTTTGCAGAGTCACACCAATGTTGACCCAGTAAATGAACCCTGATGGAAAACTTCCAGAACTTTCTCCTCAGAAAAGTTTCACGCCTCTTTTTTTACTCTCTCTCTGCGCCGCCGTTTAGCACACGACCAGTTGTCCGTTTTGTCACTTTGGCTAACCACGCCGCAGCTATAAACGCCATATAAATTTTAGATTGGTTCTTTGACTGCCCGGGACCGATCTCCCCCTGAGGTGGGGGTAATTTACGAGGAGCGGTTCGTGGCACGAATTTTTCATCGCCACTTTATTACAGCCCATCACAGGGTCTGATTAAATTGATCTGCAAAATGTTGGACAGCATCAGCTACCTGATTCAGCCGAGTACCTGCAGGGACACAAACTTGAGTCTGGAGTTGGATGATATGAAAATAGGAGAGTCCGATTACCGTTTTTTGACATTTTAATCTTTTGTTTTACGTCTCTGCCAACTCAAAGAGGACACACGCACCTCCAGCCTCACATGATCAAGATGTAAAGAAGCTGTTTGGCTTCGTTCGCTGGCAGATGGGCAGCACAACAGATTACCCTCGAAACTCCAATTTAGTCCAGGTGCTGAACCCGCCAAAAACAAATCACACAGACCGGTGTGTGGGGGGAGAAATGAGCAGGCAGGGAAGGAGGGAGAAAAGGCGAGGATAAGACTGTGAATGAATCAGGGGGGGAGCGAGAGAGGAGCGAGGAGACACGAGACGGTCGCAGCAGCTCCTCGAAGTGAGAGTTTGGAGACAACGACTTGTCTTAGGGAGACAAAAAGCGATAAAGCGCTGCGAGGGAGCGGAGTCAATGAGGAAGATCGAGAGCCAGAGAAAAGTCAAAGAGGGATAGGCAGAGTGCCGAGGAAGAAAGAGGGGAGTAAAAGAGGGGGAGAGAGACAGTCGGAGTGAGTGAGGAGAGGGGGAGCGCACATTTCCAAAGAGCCCATTCTGGTGAATGGATCACCGCGCATCAGCCCCAAAACCTGGTCGCTGTGTGATTGATTGGCTACCGTGGAGGTGTTCTTGGAGAGAGTGAGCGCGTTGACGGGGTTGGAAGGAGGGGGCTCGAAGAAGAAGAAGAAGAAGAAGAAGAGGTGCTTCACCAATCCTCCCACTCGAAGTGAAGCCTCCCACACGCTCGGCACTTGTCCAGAGGACTTTCTGAATCGAGAGAGGAAGGAGCGAGTTTTGGAAGAACTGCCGCTTCAGACATGTCGATGCTAATCGCCACGCAGCAGATCGATACCACCACCTCCAAAATGGTAAGAATAAAACCGCTCTTGTACTGAAGAACTATTGAAGCGGGTCTTTTGGACTCGTCAGCAGCTCGGCGTTTTACAGCGATGTCTCTTCATTAGTGCAGAGAGGCCCCTGGGATTCTCATGAGGCTAATGCTCTCCGAACAAACTCAGTTTACTCCAGTGTTTGGAGCTTTTGTGGAGATAGCGTGCTCTCAGTCGGGGTTAGCGTGTTGTCTTGGTGTCATGATAGAGAGCGAGCTTCTCCGTGTCCCCTGGGACGCCACTTCATCCCTCAAGGTTGTTCTTAAAAACCTGCCTCCTCCTCGTATTTGCCGTATTTCTCCGTCTCGGTCTCCTCGGTTGAACCCTGCGCAGCCCCGTCAAACTTTTGTGACATCTGAGCGAGAGAACGTGACTCGGGACAGAAATGCTTGTGTCCGCTGATTTTGGGGGAATGAAATACGAGCTGCTGTAACACACTTGTCAAGTTGCCCTGAGTGAAGCGGCGTGTTTTGGGAATTACACGAGATTACTCGGAGGATGTACGTCAAAAAAGGAGATGTTAAGCTGCGGAGAGCTGAAGTTGTGGGGTTTTGGGGTGGAGAAATCTCTCTCTCACTTAATTGCAGCTGGACTGACTTATTAAAAAAAAAGACTCCAACACAGTTTGGTAACAGAGCTTTAGTTTTGCAGGTTTCTCCTCCAGCTCTGTTAGATTTCCTCACAGCTGTGAATAATCTGCATGAAGACCCAATAAACAGGATCGTCCTCGTCCTTGTGGGCCCTTGTGCATTATTCCTTTAATGTTATTATGGTCAATCTGTGTGCTACACATTAGCATAACATGGACATTTAAATGAGGAGCGGTTTACTAAATGACGAGCTGTTTCTCCGCCTTTATCAGGTCGCCTCTGGCTTTGCTGCAGATTGTAATGAGTTGGCTGTGTGCCTGAGTGGAGGTGTGGGTATCTCAGAGGTTAATGTCCTTTTAATGCTGGTCTCAGGTGTCAGCAGCAGCGGCTAGTTTTCCCTGGATTACTGATCCTCTTTTAAAGTAATCTGATATTGATTAAGGATCAAACATGTTGTGTGAGAGTCTGCAAATGTTTGGTTGGGGAAAAACACGGATAGAGCATAAAGTCAATGAAGTGTCGTCTGTTGTTAGGAGGTGAAATTCCTCTAAATTAAAGAGTAAAAACAAACAAACATGAATCTAAAAATTGAGGTTTGGGGGTTTTTCTCTCTCTGGTGTCCGAACTGGATGTCAGAGAAACAAAAAGGAAACGACTCTGACACATTTTCAGTTTTAATGATCCGTTCAGTCGTTTCCAAAAGTTTAAGACACAATAGTTTATAATCTCATTTCCTGTAAACAATCAAAGTTTGAAACCCTGACCGAGGAACAAAAAAACAAAGCTGCTAGAAGTCGAGCTGGAATAAAAAGCTCAGCTCATAGCTCCACTTTACAGCTGCAGCTCAGCTCACAGCCCATTCAAGCTCACTTGTTTAGCAGCAGCTCAGCCTGTAGCCTCCCTAAGCATTGTTTTTTGGTTGTATCTTAGGTCACAGCCCCTTTTAGCATACTTGTCTAGCAGCAGCTCAGCTCGCAGCCCCTATCAGCATATTTTGTGGTAGGCACTCAGTTCACAACCCCCTTTGGCTTACTTGTGTGGCCACAGCTCAGCTCATAACCTCTCTGAATGTATTCAGTCAGCTGCAGCTCAGCTCACAGCCCCTCTGATCTTACTTGTTTAGTATCAGCTCACAGCCCCTCTAAGAATCCTTGTTGAGTAGCAGCTCAGGTGTCAGCCCCTCTCTGATTTATTCAGTCAGCTGTAGCTCAGTTCACAGCCCCACTAAGAATCCTTGTTAAGCTGCAGCTCAGCCCATAGCCTTTCTAAGCACTGTTCCTTGGCTGTAGCTCAGCTCACATCCTCTCTGATCTTACTTGTTTTGCATCAGCTCAGCTCACAGCCCCTCTCAGCATACCTGTTTAGCTGCAGCTCAGCTCACAGCCCCTCTGAGCTTACTAGTTTAGCAGCAGCTTGGTTCACAGCCCCTCTAAGAATCCTTGTTAAGCTGCAGCTCAGCCCATAGCCTTTCTCAGCACTGTTCCTTGGCTGTAGCTCAGCTCACAGCCCCTCTAAACTAATTTGTTTGGCAGACACTCAGCTTACAACCCCCTTTAGATGACTTGTGTGACCACAGCTCAGCTCACAGCCCCTCTGAGCATCCTTGTTTAACAGCAGCTCAGCTCACAGCCCCTCTGTGACCTTATCCCCCTCAGACACATATTAATAGATTTTTTGCCCTTGCTTACAAAGTAAATCTTTGACTTCTTGAATGAACTGTGCCTCTGAGGAGCTTCATGGATACTTGGTCTCAGTTCTTGCAGCAGTTCTTGAAGTATTTTTAGTGACGGAGGTTTAGGGACACGTCCTTTTGTTTTACACCGTGACAGCTCCCATCCTCTCTCTGTCCCAGCTCAGTTTAAATCCCCTCGTCTATGTGGAACCGTTTCATCACCCAGTCACCAACAGTTCACTTTCCGGCCCCTACATCCCTGCCGTCCCGGGGCCCGTGGGTCATCCTTTTGATACCTGCTCTTCAGATGATTTGGAGCCCGGCCCATCGGGGGGTCTTGATGTGCCAGATTTAATACAAAGCTCATCTCGTGTCCCCTCGAAGCTCCCCGGGCGAGCGGCACACATCACCACTCGGTGTGAAGACGTCTCATTTGCCAGCTAATGTGTCTAATTTCAATCACTCTGAAACATGAAAATGGTCTCCAGCTCATGAGCTATTATCCCTGATGGAAACCCCTCAGTTTAAACACTCGATAAGAGCGGGGCGGTGAATGTGTGGCAGAGTGTATCAGTATATTTAACAGTGTTGATATGAATGTGAACCAAAAATACACTTAAATTGATTTGGTATTACAGTTTTACTCAGGTGAGGAACTATTTGTATGCTTTGTGGCCGATTAGCTCTGTAAAAATGGGAGATTTACTGCAGGAAAAAAGAATGAGATTCAGTATTGATCCTTTTTGAAATGACAGATGATTGACTGCAACACACAGCAAAGGCTAGAATATGAATAAGTGATTTTCTCTGTGGGCATTTGTCTGTGGCGCAGCTCCTCTGTGGCATTTAAGTCCTACTTCTCCTCGAATAAATCAATAATTACTTTAAATCCACAGTTTTCTATTTCTTTTTTTTTAATGTTGGTCATTCACACCACCTTTTTACCGTTCCAGCCAGAATACCAAGAGCGGAAAAAACAGCTGAGTAGAAAAATGACTAATGTGAAATTGAAGGTATGGATTTTTTTTTTGTGCTAAGTGAAGCGGCGGCTGCGGCGTTCACTTGGCCCGGAGTCAAAACTGTGACTGGAATCCTCGAGTAAAACAAATTAAAAAGCCATCAGATAATGACAGCAGGTCGCTGTAGTAATAACAAAGCCTTCTCACAATCAGAGATTCAAAGTGTGTGTGCGCGACTGTGTGTGTGTGTGTGTGTGTGTGTAAGTGTGTGTGTGTGGCAAGTTTAAATGGCAGCGGTCCAAGAGAGACAAATGTATCTGAACTTTTCATCCGTCCTGCCCTCTCTCTCTCTCTCTCTCTCTCTCCCTCCCTCTCTCTCTCTCTCATTCTCTCTCTCTCTCTCTCTTCCTCTCTCTCTCTTTCCCCTTTTTCACCCTTTGTTCATTTCCTGTCCTCTCTGCTGCTCGCACTTATTATTTCAGGACATCTGGAGGTTCGAATCAGCGGCAGGTTTTTCAGGCTCTACATTCAGCATAACATGCGACTCAACCTTGACTGTTTTTTTATAAAGTTTTATTCTGATATCTCTAAATGAAAAACCTTTTAATGAGCGACAGACTGCTTGTTGTGATTAAAATGCTGAACTCTGACTTGGCTGTAAATAAAACCTGGTTGTTAAAGTTAGATCAGACTTTTAGCAGCCGGAGTATGAAGCTAAAAGATGTTTCTACTGAATAAAGAAGGCAGAACGAATGACCAGACCTAAACGATGTTGTATATTGTTAACTTCTCGTCCTGACTGTTCTGCTCGTGTGTAGACATGTCTATAAAAATAACCACGCTTGTGTTATTTGCTAAAATGCAAACAACTTCTGGCTAGCTAGACAAGCTAATGCTGATGCTAACGTTTTTAACCCGAGTGTTTTATAAATTTTAATCACGTGGTCATTTTATTCTGATGCTGCTGGAATTTTAATTTTCTTTAGGAAACCTTCCCAAGAGGATCAATACTTTCTAATCTAATCTAATCTAGTCTGATCTGGTCTAGTCTAGTCTGGTCTAATCTAGTCTAGACTAGTTTAATTTAGTCTCTAGTCGAGTCTAATTTAATCTAATCTAATCTAATTTTGTCTAGTCTAGTCTAATCTAGTCTGGTCTAATCTAATCTAATTTAGTCTAATCTAGTCTAGTCTTATCGAATTTTATCTAATCTAATCTGATTTTATCTAATCTAGTCTCATCTAATCTAATCCAACCTAATCTTATTTTGTCTAGTCTAATCAAATCTAGTCTAGTCTAATCTAGTCTGGTCTAATTTAGTCTAGTCTAATCTAGTCTGGTCTAATCTAGTTTAGTCTAATCTAATCAAATCTAGTCCATTATAGTCTAATCTAATCTAATCTAATGTAGTCATAAATCTAATCTAGTTTAATCTAATCTAATCTAATTTAATAAATTTTAGTCTTATCTAATCCAGGCCCAATATCATAGCAGTAGATGCTAACATGCTTAACACAATTATGCTAACTAGCCGATGTATTAGCGTTAATAATATGGTAAAATTGTCACAGTAGCAGTGTTATTGTGAGATTTATAGACGACATTAAATCAACAATATTATACGTCAAAGTAAGAATACGATCATTCGGACCACTGAAAGAGAACTTGCAGAGAACAGTACTAAAGGTTGTAAAAATAAAAACTGGAATATTTCGAGTCGATATCTGAGCAGATCTTGTTTTCGATAACGTTGTGATTCCTGTTTCTCCTCTAAAAAGCAGCAGAGATCCTCCCCCCACCACATTTATCAACCTCACACAGTTGCTTGTCCTTTTCAACCCACTATTTCAGCTTTTTTCCACTTCCTGCCCGTGGATTTGTTGGCTTATTGCTGAGCCTTCAGAATGACAAATCAACCCTCAGCAAACAGACTTTCTCTTCTCGGACCACCATCTCCACCAGACGTGAAATTATTCTGGTGGCCCTGTCTGGGAAATGGGATCCAAGTCAACAGAGAAGCATGAGATAACTGAAAAGCATTTTTTTCTCCCCCTTTTCCTCCCAGCTCGGCTTGCATCTGTAAATTACCTTTGTGCCTCTTCCACTCTATATGTGCTCGATGTTTCACCCACCGCTACGCCTGCGCTCACAACTCACAACTCCGAGCTCTTTTTCTATTTCTACCCTTCAGCCTTCCTCCTTGCTCACTCTGTCCCTCTAAATTTCCCGGGGACTTTATCTCCCCCATTTCAAATAGGATTGGGGCTCAATTTGCCATGCTTCATGTCACTTTGCAGCCGAATTCCACGCTCCATATAGACACATCATAAAACTGCAGAATGAGCAAAATATGATTTGTCCAAACTTTTTTTTTCTTTTCCTCCTCCGGCTGTTTTTCATTTCTGCGATTTTGTTTCTCCGTCCTCGTGCTTTGATTCGTCACGAGAGATCAGGGCTGCGTCATTGGGCAGATGGAGGTGTCAATCAAAAAGAGGTGTTTGTGTCGGATTGGTGTTGATGCTGGTAGGTGGTTTCACACTTGGAATGACAGCACCTATTAATTTGACCATTTAATTTGAAGTCTAACAGCGTCAGGCTCCAGCACCTTCAATCTCCCCCTGTCATTCAAAGCAAGCCTCCAGCCAGAGACCACAAACACACACACACACACACACACACACACACACACACACTGAAGTTACCAAAAAGCCATTAATTTAAAGCTAAAACTTGGTCTTGTCTAAGACACAGGAAAACGCTCAAATCCACCACAGCCCTCTGGCTAAATAACTCGTCAAGTTTTGTGGTTAATAATATTTCTGCAAAAACAATCAAGAAATAATGTTTCTGACTCCAAATATGAATAATGCCGTTTAAGGTTATGTCAACAAACCAGAGATGAGGTTTTAATTCGGTCTTATCTCTCATTGTCTCATTTTTACGGTACAACTTCCCTGAGAAATTCTCGTCTGGTTATCAAACAGGTTCAAAGTCATTATAATGCGTCTCTGTGAGTCAACTAAGACCGTCAGGATCAAGGTTGGCGATATCAGCAACTTTATTTCAACATCTCAAACCATGAACATCGTATTTTATTACATATATTAGCTGTACTGCTCTGTTAAACTCACATTACACTATAAAGTATCCGTCAAAAAGCATGGTGCTGTTATCCTGACATATCGTGACATATCAATAGAACGGTTATCATCCCGAATCATAGGTTATCGTATCAACTCAGATAGTTTTATATTGTTTCGTATCATATTGCACTGTTGCACTAAATCATATAGAATGGTATCTTATTGAATTATGTTCTATTGCACCTGATTGTAGCGCACTGTTCTGTATTATATCATGACATAATGTATTGTATTGTATATTATATCGTATGATGTCATAACACATCATGTCATATTGCATCATAATGCATTCTATCCTATTGTATCAGAATAATCGCACTGTAACATGTTATATTGTATCATATATCAATGCATGTGATGTCATATTGCATCATAACACATCATATGTATCATATCAGTCGTATCTTATCACGTCACATAGAATCTAATCGTATTTACCGTATTTTTCGGACTATAAGGCGCACTTAAAATCCCTAAATTTTCTCAAAAATTGACAGTGCGCCTTATAATTTAGCGTGCTTTATTTATGATAACTTGTTGCTCTTACTGACCGATTTTATGTGATACGCTGCACTCAGAAATCTGTCGAAATGTATAAGTACAACTTTGGTGAGCAACGAAGCTGCTCCGCTCAGTGGATATTTGGAGCATTATGGTACGCTGTGTCACTACCTGTCTAAACTCAAAGTGCATTCATGTAAGGCAGCGGGGCCCGGAGTAGACACTAGCAACAATAAATTAATCGATGCGCGATGTGCCTAACGATCCGATACGCCTTATGTGTGAACGTAGACACGCTAACTCAGAGTGCGCCGTGTAATCAGGTGCGTCTTGGGCAATCAGGTGCGGCCAACATCGTACCTGATAATATGATATTATATAACATAGTTTTATACCAAAACATTATGTATCGTGTCATATTAGATGGTATGTTGTGTCACATTGTTTCCATTGCACCTAAGCGCACTGCACTGTGGTGTATCGTATTGTTTTCTAACCTATGGTTTCATACCATTCTGTGTCACATCGTGTTTTAGTGTATTTTATTGTATTTTATTGTATCGTAACATTGAGTATTGTAATATTACGTGTCGTACAGATTGTCTTGTATTTGATCGTATCTTTTCCTTTAGATTTATAAAACGTTAATGCTGATAAATAATATAAACTTCACCTGGAAGCTTCAGTGTGAGTTCAGTCTATTCCACATTTGGCAGTAGTTTGAATAATAGACGCATTTTTACAATTTCGAGCCAAGTTTCCTTCTGCATTAAATCAGAGTTACAGCCCTCCATATTCCAGAAATGCTGCAGCGACACATCGGAGATACTTAGCAACAGATGTTAGGGTGTGAAATCTGGCTTCAGCTGCAAATTGGGTTCTCTCCTCGTAAAAGCGAGCTCTGACAGACCCAAATATCCCCGGTAATGGCTGGATTGATCCTCCCTCCATGAAGCTGGGGATTGAAGCTGGAGGTTTATGATGGTATTCTCTGTAAGGAATGGACTGCAAGAGAGAAACGTGACACCACAGTATAAATTAGCAAGCTCTACTCTCTGCGCTCTCTCTCTCTCTCTCTCTCTCTCTCTCTCTCTCTCTCTCTCTCTCTCTCTCACACCCTTTCTTTCCCCCTCAAATGAACCTGCGCTCCCGCTGTGAACGGGATGCTCCCATCACAGCGTCGGTGAACGGGGTGAAGTCTTCAAGGTCAGAGCTGAAACAACAAACTCTCAGCTCACACAGAGTTGGCAAACTTCGCCTCTCGTTGTTGAACTTTTCAGTTTTCCAGGTGGATTAATTACTCAAGCAGCATATGTCTGCGTTTAATCAGAGAGGCACCGCTGCATGACTTCCCCTGATTGACTTTAAAAAGGAGAAAGACGTTCAACTTGATTTAGAGGGACCCATTAACCCTGATAGTTTGGATTTTATTTGTCTCCTTTGACTTCGTACCAAAGATAACCTTCTGGATTACAGCTTGAAGATTCTTTGAAGGGTCTGACGTTTTATTTGTAAGTTAAAAGTGCGTTTTACAGGGAGTGTAGTAGGGCTGGGCGACATATTTTTTTCATATCAGTCGATCCCGATATATATCACGATATAACAAATGAAATATAACAGTGTTTGTTGGCAGCATGTCTTCGGCATCTGTGAGGTCTTTGTGTCTCTCTGACGTTTTGTCGTAAGGCGTCGCTCTAGAGAAAGACGACTGAATGGTCGTCTGTTTCAGCTGTTTCAGGCGCCATGGACTTCTTACTCCGCTTAGGGGTTTGTAACCTTTTGCGTTGTGGGAAAAAAACAAAATCAGAGGCAGAAACAAGATGGCTACATCTACGAAAGATATTTTAGTGCTTGCTTTGTCCGCATATGAGGTAAGCGCTAGAATAACTTTCGTAGATGTAGCCATCTTGTTTCAGGCCTCTGATTTTGTTTTTTTCCGACTTGGTTACTGAAACGCTGGGAACTCAGCTCTGACATCTGATTTCCAAGGTAACTTGAACGCAGCATAATGCAGCACACGATTGGTTCAGCGCAAAGCGAACCTGGAGAAACTCCCCTTTTCATTGGTTATTCATGTAGTCGACCAAAACATGGCAGAATGCCGACTATCAAAAAGCATATTGATCGTGTTTTATATCGATATCGAGGGAAATTAATTACAGATATGTATCATTATCATTTTATCGCCCAGCCTGAGTCAAAAGTGTGTTTTGTAAGGAGAGTAGCATCAATCCCACCTGTCTAATCGCTCCTGCACACGCCTTGGTTGCAGCAGCGTCTATCAGGCAGAGATGTGAACTGTTCCTTTAATCTGCAGCTTTTCTCTCTTACACTAAAGATATCGATCGTGTTGTTTAATTCATGTTACTTAAAGCCCGTCAGGATGATTGACCACTTCCCTTCAGGCTGCATTAATTATCGTCCGCTGGCACCGACACAGCCTCTGGAAACAAAACACTTCAGACTCTGACCTCACCCCTTTTTCTCTGAAGCACCTTCTCCTGCACCACCTTCACTTTATGATGGAGGGGAGGATTTAGAGACTACAGCGCTCCAAAGTAGTGCAGATCCAGGGAGAGACAGGAGGCTTGATAAGTACAGCTCCGGCACAGGGGCATGAAATGAGAAACTATCCGTCAGAGGAGTCACAGTGGGCGACTCGCAGACGGGGGAGCACAGGAAAATCTGAATATATCTGTGTGTGAGAGTGTGTTTACAGCTGAATGAAAGGGTTAATATGTTGTTGTTGCAGCTTTTGTTCATTCAGAAATAATGTGCAGAAATTAAGCAGAATCCTCCACTAGATGGCAGTGTTAATCTGTTTGTAACACCCTCATATAAATGTGTGTGACTAATTCTTTCTTCTCCTCCACAGAAATGTTGCATATATATCATAAATGTGTGTTATCTTGTGTTTTGCAGCTGCACAGTTGTCAGTCTTGTATCTTGTTGTCAGTCTTGTATCTTGTTGCCATCTCAGGCTGTGCAGACTCCTCTCCTTCTTTAATCATATTGGGGACTGTTTATGATCCGGATCGATCCGGCGGTGTACTCTTGTAAGGAGATACGGCAGTAAAAGTCGAGTCAGGCCACGCTTCAGGGTCAAGAAGTGCATCTGCATTCATGATTTTTACACGATCAGCCGTAAAGATCTCCTACATATTCAGTCCACCTTAAATCGTCCTGCGTCAGGAGTCCCTGAAAGTTTGATGGATCTGTCTCTGCCCGTCTCTTTCTTATTCCTCCGTTTCTTCCTCTTCGTAATCACATCAGTACAGCGGCTGAAAATTGAATTGCATCTGCTGGAGCTGCTGTGCCAGAGCCGGAGATGGATTTGATGTGCAGAAACACATGGCAGCAGCTTTCTTTTTCTTCCTCTGTGAAAAAAAAAAAAACAACCTTTCTTGGAAATCAATGGTAAAATATTTTGCAGAGGCGGGAGTCTGCGCCGTCTGTCTGAGCGTGCTCAGTGATCACAGCGTGCAGCATCTGGGCGTTTAAACCGGTTTTAATTGAAAGGTAAATGTGGGATGATTTGCTGCAGGTATGCGGCGAGTTTAAAGCAGGAGTGAGAGACTTAAAGCGTTTCCTGAAGCTCGTCTGTTTCTCAGTCTGTGGAGAGTAAATGAGTTTTTTTAAGTCCCAGAATGCTTTGAGTAGAAAGATTTGGACGTCCTGGATCCTGTGAGGATACAAACTTTCAGATTACAGATTTGATTGGTTGGTTGATTATCAGACAAGTATTTAAAGGCCTTTTTTGGCGTTTGCTGATTGGTTGGATGGAAGGTAGTTGTCTGGACTGTCAGCTGATTTGGGCTGTTGTTTAAATCAGCTGATCAACCTTGAATTTGTAAAGGTGTTGTTGTCAGGATCTGAGTTAGTTCCAGTTTTTAGGAGAAATCTTGAATGTAAACTCTACCCCTCCCAACCAGTTTTCCCCTCAGCTCCTCCTCTCCCCTCCCTCTCTGCTCCAGCAAGCCCCACCCACAAACAGACGCTCCTACTCGCTCGTATCGTTCCAATCAAATTCAGATATAATGCAGATAAATACTTCAGATAATTACAAATGGGGCCCAGTCAAGGTGAAAGTCAAAAGCAGTGGTGCTACTGTAGATGCCAACAGACTACCAGCAAACACAATGTTTGCAGGACTTCTACAACTAGGATAAAGTGACATAGTCCAGGACCCGAGGTCAACAATTTGATGCTTCTTTCACATAATCCTGCCTACTCTACCTTTAAACCTGCCTGAACTAACACTGCACCCATATCTTGGTTAAATCTGTCTGAAAACTGTCTGATAGTAGATGACGATATGATAATTTAGAGTAAATAATGCTGATAGTGAAGACAGAGAGGGTTAATTCTATTATACCACGGCCACCCCACCTGGGCTGGGGCACCCAGACTGAAAACAGGTGGATACGCCCCTGGTAGATCAGTGATTTTTCACATGAATCCTTATGAATCTGGACTTGTTTGTCAGGGAAACAGAAGGCTGAATACTCTGTTATTATAAAGTTTATATGACAACATCAGCTGTATTTTATATTTACAGACTCTGTTGACTTGTAACACTCTCACACAAACATATTATATGATCAGTTGTGTGTCTGGGGTTGTAAATGACCACCTGTGGGTGAAAAATCTCGTTTATAAGGACAACAAATGTGCAGCACTCCTCACCTGTCCCATGAAACCTTGAGAAAGAAAAAAAGCTCGTTGATTAAATCTCAGAGTCTGTCAGACAGATTAATCTGCTCATTTTACACTCCATGTAACCCCTCTCTCTCTTGACACGGTGCCATCTCCTGTCTCCTTCTCTCCACATGGGGGCACTGTTGCTCTGCTCAGCCCTCATCTTCATGTCTCCTCTGTGGATCCGAATGGAGGCAAAGAAAGGAAACTAATAGAGACACTTTGGCTCTCTCTGGATCTGCAAAGTCACGATAAGTTTGCTCCTCACAGCTGTGGGATCTCGGCTGGTTCTTGTTGTGTCTCTCTCGGCTCTTTGGGTCTCTGTTCCTGATCGGAAGGAGGAGGACCTCGGAGTCCCTGAACGTCAAACAGCGGTCACTTTTTTTCCTCCTAAGAGGGAGGGAGAGGACTGAGGCGGCTTTTCTCTCCTGTCGGATCCGAGTGAGGAGCGCTGTGTTCGGCTTCATCCTCGTCTGTCTTCGCCTCAAGTTGTGAAAGTGAGAAAACTGCGTCTCTGCAGCATCCGTGAGTGTGGAAGGACGTGACAGGAATCCTGAGTGATTTTCTTACCCCTGCCACTCCTCACTCGGACTTATCGATTAACCGCGGACGTCTCTCAAGTTCTTTTATTCGACTAACCGTGGAAATGGCGTCCCTGTACCAGAGATTCACCGGGAAGATCAACACCAACAACTCCTTCCCCAAACCCCCAGAGGCGAGCCACCTCCTCGGGCAAGGTGTGGAGGGGGAGAGGCCGGCGGAGAGCACGACGCGACCCCGACTCCAGCATCCGTACCGGGGACACAGCGAGGACGAGGACGTAAGAGACACTCGACACCGTGTTTAGACGGTCTGAGCCGAACAGAGTCGGTTTAATGTCACATTTATCGAGTGTGAAAACAGCATTTAACGTTTTTAACGGAGAATTTTCCCCTTTTAGAGCAAAGTTTTTAAACTTATGCGACATCCCCTCAATTGGTCGACCTAAACGTCAATAAATGACGCGTCACTTACGTCTCTCTTACGGCTCTCTTACGGCTCTTCACCGTTCACGCTCCGTGGCGCTGTTTTCTCATATAATAGATTATTATGGAGTTGTGGATCACATTACATGAGTTGCAAAGCTGTTTAACGACCTCATGTTTGATTCTTATCATCTGCTTTACTGATAATAATCCACCTTTGAGTATTTTTATCACCTCTGGTGTGTGTTTTCGTGTTTTTATCATATTTCCCAGGTGTCATGAACTCTGTGTTTTTGTTTTCGTCTCTGTTTCTGTGGTTTAAAGCTCCTGCATGTGTTGTGAATCAGTGTTTGTAGTCAGGTACACCCTGAGAAATGATCCAATTTCACTTTATTGGTCTATTTGTTTCATAACTTCTTATAATATGCAATTCCAAAGTGTCTGTGCTGAAATCTATAGCCCCAAGTTTCACACATGAGACTATATTCTCATTGTTTAAACTGTATTTAGGGCGACCAAGTGTCATTTGATAACATTTTGGTTGTTGGTGTTGTGTACCATGGCTCAGTTAAGGTTGATAAACTCTGTACTCTGAATATGTGGGTCTGAAAGAGCGGGCCCATGACGCTGTCCTTGGTGCTGAAACGCTGGAGTGGATTTACTGTCTGTCTGTCTCTCTCCGTGGTGCTGAAACATTAACTCGGCTAAGCCTCTTTGATGGGGCTTTTATTTGTCTGTCTGCTCAGGATGTTTAAAATACTCCATTGTGGCTCTCTGTGAAAAAAAAAGGATTGCAGGGTTCCTCGTCTCTGCCAGCTCTGTGTCTGTTTTCACTGTGAATCTGCAGTGTGGATGTTTTGTCATGCAGGTCTGACACAGTGAAGTTAGCAGCCTTCATGTCCTGTATGGTCGACCTGATAGCCCGCTGTCTTTTTGACTTTCAGAGGAGTTTCATTCATATTGACGCTTCACGCTGAGTGTGAAGTCCCTCTTTGTCTCTCTCTCTCTCTGGGTGTTATTTCCTTGTCCGGACAGGTTTGGGTCACCACGGTTTCACAGCAGTCAGCAGCTTCGTAGTGTTAGCTCAGAGATACTCTTGTTTACAGGCTGTGTCATGAATATAACTGTAGATTTGTTGACTAGAGCGCTCTGCTTCTTACAAGAGGAAACCTCTAGAGGACAAACCAGTGAGCTCAGACCGTATATACCCACTGGACTCACAGGAAACTCTTTTAATTCTGGGTCTCAGTGGCCTGGGGTGTCAAATTCATGAGCCTCATCAGTTTTTCCAACAGTTTCAGTCTCGCTCAGACTCAGCAGACTCAGGCCCGGTTAAAACACACTCGGGTATTTTTAAAAACAGAGACATTGACCATCGTTTGCACCCTTCGTTTAGATGCAAACGGAGAATTCGCCCCTGAAAACGATACTTTTTGAGATTTTGGAAAAACTCCGTTTGCAGGTTTGCATGTAAACAGAGAAAAACTGAGATTTGAGAAGGAGGGCATGTTGTTGTTATTGCTGCTATTCAGGTTCTGATTGGCTAACTTGGGCTTGAGCTTCTCGCTACACTGCCACCTGTGACTATTGGGGGGGTTAGCGCCATTTTGAGGGGTGTCAGAAACCTGAGTGATCAATTCCAGTGCCCCATATATGTGACTCAAAATTTCCCATAAAGCATTGCAAAATGTAGTGACTATCCGATGGTCACTCACCGGTGGTGGGCATCCCGTCATGCATTCAGTCTTGCCATGTAGTGTCTGAAACCTGCGGTGATTGAGTTCACTACATAGTCAACGATGTAGTGAAATCCCATATGGGGGTTAGGAGTTGAGTGATTAATTCCGGACACAGCTTTTGCTTGATTTCTTTAGCAAAGAGACTAAACACAACTTACCCACTCTCTTCCAGCAGCTGCTTGTTTGTGGGGGAGCCCTGGCGAGTTGATCACTGAGTGCAGCGGAGTTTCGCAGCTCAAGGAAGAACATTTATGATCATTTCTTCATGGGAATACAATCAGACTGAGACACTAAGGCAGAAGAATAACTGGAATTTGAAGGAAATGATAAAGTAATGATCATAAATGTTCTTCCTTGAGCTGCGGCACCCCGCTGTAGTCCGTAATGGACTGGCCTGAGGTCTCCTTACAAACAAGCAGCTGCTGGAAGAGAGTAGGTGAGTTGTATTTAGTCTCTTTGCTAAAGAAATGAGTCAAAGTTAAACTGACTGATTATTGTCTTCCTGGAGACGATTATCAGTCTAACCTTCGATGTAACTTCTGTTCTTGGTGCCATCATGTTCTCCAGATTCCTCATCAGGCTGCGTTGAAAAAATCTAGATCATCTTTGACTCTCCTCTGAGTTTTTCTTTACTTCAACCGATTGTCAGAAACTACATTTAAGTCCAACTAACTTTCAGATCAACCTGCTGATAATAAAACAGAGACTGGTGAACGACCAGCTGAGCCGTGATTGTTGGTTCGATGAACTCTCCTCCTCTGTCTCCTTTCCTCCTTTCCTCCTCTCCTCCTCTGTCTCCTCACTCATTCATTAACCTGGACAGACAGGGTTAGACTGATCTGAGCTCCGTTATCTTCTCTGCAGGTGAACCATCACATGGTTCAGTCAAGGTGTTTCAATATCGTAATCTAGTTTGTTTTGCAGGTCGGCATGTTGATGTTTTAAATACTTTAAACCTCCATCGAGAATCTCTACGTCTGTCTATTACAGGCGATTGCGTGCGCTCGGCTGCACCGTGGAGGGCGGCGCTGTACAGTAAGGAGGTGTGGGAGGTAAAAACAGGGTTTGAGGTGTCCATGAATATAACATGAGGTTGATTTATTGAGCGCTGGTCCTGCCTTTGTGTTAGCTGGTGCAGAGAACTCACACATAATCTGAAATCAATAGCAGCAGTGATGTACGGTCGCTGTTCATCAACCTGCGAGCGCGGTGGGGGGTCGTGTTTGGAAGAGGAGCTTTGTTGAACATGGTGCAGTGATTATTTCAGAGTGGAGACCTGATGCTGAAACCTCTGCTTCGTTTTTGTATTTATTCCCCGTACCTGTAAAGACAGCCGTGTCTTTCCCACGCCGTCCTCGCCTCTCGCTCTTTTTTTAACGTCAATCCGAGCTTTGGCGATGATCCAGCTGTGCGGCCTTAATGAGAGCGTGTGCTGGAGGTGACATTTGCTTCACGCTGTGTGGATGAGATCCAGAGCCCACTGGGATGAAGAGCTCATCCACTGAGTCAGCCTCCACGTAGGGCCGGCACACGGCGTCACGCTGCCTCTTCAGAACTTTATCCACCCATCTGTCCTCCCTCCTCACTCAGCACTTCTCCATCACACAAGATTATTTCTCTCCCTGGCAGCTTTAGAGCGGTTTTTTCTAGTGCAACCCGAGCTTTAATTCACCGCAGCGTTACATTAGAAGTCTCCCTCTGGAATAGAGTTCAGTTCAACACTTTGATAGTGAGTCCAACACTTTCTTCTCGTCTTTTTAACACTCCTTTTTTTTCCCTGACATTACTTACTCCTGTTTGTTCGACTGTGTAGTTTAGATCACAGTTATATAAGCGCCAAGTTCAACATGTTTTTTTTTTCCCTCCATAATGAGCCCAGAGTGTGAAACTGAGTCGGCTTCTTTATTTACCGTGTTTGTTGACATGTTTGAGTTGCTAGTTTAGTTCAGCGGTTGCATCATAAACACAGGCTGTAGTCCTCGAAGCATCCAACCAACCAACCAACCCGGGTTCGACTCCTGAGGCCTTTTACCAAATCAGTGTGTATTAATTACAGTATATGAGTGAAAATATGAAGATAACACTGGGATATTTGAGAGCAGCGTTTTTGTCCTGTACGTCTGTAAACTCCACACGGAGGTCTAAGCCTCGCTCAGATCGACGCTGCATTTAAACAACTCATTATCTCTCTTTGTTTGGAATGAGCTCGACTTACTCTCCATTTCGAGCTTAATCCGTCTCTGTCAATACTTCTGATTGTGATCTCAGCCTGAAATCCTCTCTGATGGTGATTCCCGGCTGCTGCTGGAACAACTCATTACAATCTGATCAAACAGGCTTTTTTATTTAGAGCCTGTTAGCGAGTGTTTATGCATCTCTGTGATCAGTTAGACTGACACTGAATCTGCTGACTTTCACCGTGTTTGTGGGGGTTCAATGTCCAATTATATTATTATTCTGTCCAGTATTACTTTATGAAAGTAACAGAGGGGTGTTAGTGTTAATATAAGGAGTATTTTGATAAAATGGAAAAACTGTGTGTTTTTTTACACGTAGATATGACTGAAATCGATACAGGATTCATAATTAAAGGCATTTTTGAACAGAAAAACTTAGTAGGGCTGGGCGATATGGCCTCAAATCAATATCATGATATATTGATCAGTTCACCTCAACAATGATAAATAGACGATAACTACTCCACAAGCTGCTCACCCCCTCCCACATTAACTTTGTCTACTTCAGCCGCTCCAACTTTCTCTC